GGTTGCGGCGGTACCGGCCGGGAGGCCGGTTTGTATTGTCTAATGACAAAAAAACTGTGAATGTTGTATATAAAGACATTCTGTAGTATATTTAGTATGTTCAGGGGGTATCTTTTGAAGATTTCCCCTTTTCGATAATAATCTAAACAAAACAAAGATATATTTAGTATCAGCATTGCACCCGTGCGAAGCTGGGGCGGGTCACTAGTACTTTTATAAACATAGGTATAATATGTAACCACGTATTTCTTTGTGAAAACACATATTTTTGAATAAAATTTATTCTCTTAGATCCTTCTATTATTTGTATCAAAGCATACACGACTGTTGGATCCAAACACATACAATATTCATGTACTCGGAATATCATAACGTCTTTAACTATTCCTTCTAATATCATAATGGCATAGAGGCTAACATGTTTATATTAGTTTTGTGTGGCAAGTTAGAAGCATGTTCCCTTTCTGTTACAGGGTGATTCTGGGGGACCACTGACAGTGAACGGTGTACTTTATGGATTGGTATCTTCCGGTACAGCTTGCGCTGATGCCAGATTTCCAGGAACCTACACCAATGTTTCAAGTGTACGCTCCTACATCACATCAATTACAGGACTGTGATTGCATGGGTTTGATAACATACTACTGAATGTGTAATTTATTATTATCAATAAAAAACGAGTGTTAAAGCATGCATTTTTTTTAACGTACCTAAAACCACAGCAAGATATTCTAGTTCTAGTACCTACACAAAAAAATATTGAGGCAACAGGACAGTGAGATGCAGTAACAATGTATGTTTTTGATCAAATTTAGAAGAAACGAAATACAATAAGTATACATTAGAGAAGTCGGAAAGCATTCATTTACTTGGCAAGAAACGACATCTATTCCTCCTAATATTTACATCAAATTGAACTGGATTGGCACAGTTCCAGATTTTCGACTTTCTGCTGGTATTTAGGTATATAGAATCTGTGGAAATCTTTAGTTCGAACGGTGGCAAAAAGTTTCAGTGTTTTTTTCTTTTTTTTCATCTTTAACTACACCTGTGATACAGCAATTTGCTCAGAACAACCCAGAATTGCGCCTGTATAAGTATCTACCGATATTAGTACTTGATTCACAAGTATATTCGGTTTAGGTGATCTATTGCAGGATTTTCTGCAGAAAGATGTACCAAAGATTGTGTTAGTGCATTATCATCATAAGGTCCCCAGTCGTAAGATTGGTTGGACACGCATCTCCACTCTTCCCTATCTTGAGCTAATCTTCGCAAATTTCTAAAACTAGAACAACCCACATTCTTAACAATTTGCGAACAGTAATCTAATCTATTTCTATCTCTAGAAAACTTTTGGGTGTTTGGTGGATAGGGTGAGAAAGATGAGACGGACGAAATGAAGATATAAAAGAATGAAAGATTATCTGTTGAATATTAGTGCCTCAGCATTTGCCTAGGTGATCCAAGGAAACCACAGAAAAACTTGGACCAAGGCAGACGGACCCGGAATCGAACCGGCGTCCTCCCGAATGCTAAGCAATGGTCTAAACCGTTTCTGCCTCTAATATGTCTCTGACTAGACCTGAGGAGGTGTCCTACTAACCTATCTCGCCTATTTCTTATTGACCTCCATAGAGTTCTCTGTTCTCCTATTCTTTCTAACACCTCTTCATTTCTAACCTTCTCTATCCACGGTATCCTCATCATTCGTTTGTAATACCACATTTCAAACGCTTCTAACCCTTTCCTTCCGCCGCACGCGTTGTTTTGCACCCGTACAGTGCCGTGCTCCAAACAACATTTTTCGAATTTCTAAATTAACCGTTCGAGAGCATAGAAGTGATTTCTTTTATTGAAGGCGAGTCGACCCTGCGCTATCCTCTGCTTTATATCCCTACTACTCCTTCCGCCCTGACTTATCTGACTTCCTAGATCCTGAAATCGGTCATTTCTTCTAATTTTTCGTCTCCTATCTTTATATTCGCTCTTTCCCTACCATTTTTTCCCTTGCATACTATAAGAGCCTGTTGCTCTTTATACAATCTAAGTATCACTCTTCTGTATGTATACATGGCGATATTAATTCTTGTGTGCATTATGTTTCTCTCACAAATAAGGCGGATTTTTCTGGTTAATGATTTCCTTACCGTCCTCTCTGGACAGAAAAGTTTCCCCCACAGTCATACAAGTTTTGCTGTGTATTTACAGTTTCTAACTCACTCCAATTAATTTGGATTACTCTATTATTTTCGCTTCTTTGCATCCGGGGATTACCCCGCCGACTATTTTCAATACCTTTTTTATCATGTCAGGAAAGCTACATTGGAACAGAACTGTCTATTCTTGATTTTAATCTTCTTCTTTTTAACTGATTTTTCCTTTCTTTTTCCTTATTTCTTACTATTTTCTTCATTATATTTGTCCAATCCTTCTTCTATTTCTTGTAATTTTTCCTTTTCCTCCTTCCCCATTGTTAACATTCATAAAGTATTTGCCGACGTTCAATAGTTCAGGTCATGTAAAAAGTCGTATTGTATTTAGGTCTAAGAAATGGGGTGCAATATTCTGTTATTATTTACATTTCTAAAGATCTTAAACTGCTCGTCATAAAACCATTTAAATATTTAAACTATCTATTCTCGACACATCTGGATATATTCTAATTGTTTACTTTATGATCCGATCATTTGGGAATACAGTTCATTTCAATTTTATGGTTGAATTCTATTTTGTAAAGGTTTACAATAGCGATTGTAGGTATTTAGTCGGAATCGGTAGATTTGGAAATTTCGTCAGGCAGTGTCATTAGCCTTGTGCATTACTTGTTCTACCCCTGCCCTCTCAATACCTCCTTCCCTTTATCAACATCCTTACCACTCCTCTTCACCAATGATAGGCGCTATGTTCAAAAATCACCACCCTCTATTACAACCCCACTTTAATTTAAAATTTAATAAATAGTCAAAAAATATAGTTACTAAGCAGAGTTTTCAAGAGTTTGTTTCTACAGTTCTTTCATATATCTACGCACAAATTTGAACCACGATTTTGTAAATAGTGTAAATAAAATATTTAAACCCACTGTCCTGTTTATTCGTTTTCTAACAAGTGGTACAGCTTTTTAATTAAGGTTGTACAGCAGTGAATTTTCATTGGTAATAACCTCCAGAAGTCCACTGCCTATACGCCCAAACACCCATCTCATTCATCTTTCTCTTACACTTTCTTTTTCTTCCTGAGTTTTATACATTTTTTTTGTTTTTCATCTTTTTCTTTCTATTCTTCTATTGATTATATATTTGACGAGTTGAAACAAGAAGCAAGATCGGTAGGAAAACTGCTGTTTCTGAAAAATTGCATATATGTTTACGAAGCCATTGGTTTAATATGATGTAAAATTTCTGTCAGTTGAACAGCAACGCCCGATGCTAATCTGATAAATTTTTCTCTAATGTATGCTTAATTAGGAAGTGCAGGGCAGCTAAGGAACAGTGGATTGATATGAGGTGTAAAGAAGGAGAAGAAAAGTTTGAACTACGTAAAACCGGTGAAGATTATAATATAATTAAAAGGAATTTTAGAGATGTAGGATACAATAGTAATAAAATATAAGAAACGAGGGACCCCTGCCTCGTTTATATTTTGATAGAAAATGAGAAAAAAGCAGATAAGTAGAAAGAATATTTAGAGAACCTATACACAGGCCATAAGTTAGGAGATATATTAGAGAAGGAAGGTTGTTAAAGGTGTGTTTAGAGTGCCGCACTGTACGGGTGCAAAACATGGACGGTGGTCGTTGCGAAATGTGGTGTTACACGTAAATGATGAGGATACCGTGGATAGAGAAGGTTAAAAATGAAGAAGTATTAGAAAGAATAGGAGAACAGAGGACTCTATGGAAGTCAATAGGAGATAGGCGGGATAAGTTAGTAGTAGGAGTAGAGGTAGACCTAGATTAGATTACTGTTCGCAAATAGTTAAGGATGTGGGTTGTTCTCGTTTTATGGAAATGCGCAGTTTAGCTCAGGAAAGAGTGGAGGTACGTGTCCAACCAGTCTAAAGACTGATGACCTTATGATAATAATTAGAAATTAGAAGTTTTTAATAGAAAAAGGTAATCTAAGATAACGTGAAGATGATATTTTCGCATTTATCCTTAGATAACTAATGAAATGTGCCATGTATTAGAGACTGAAAAATTTTTTACTTTATGTTTTTCATAAAAATTCAGAGAAGCACCAAAAAAATTATCTTTACATCTCCTCGTGGATGTCAGTGACTACCTGATAAAACATTTGATACCGATACAAATACTATAAATAGCGAAATAACGATCATTATCATTGACGTCCTGGTAACGACTTATAAAATCCATTATGAAGGTGTTCCTGTTTATAACTTTAGTTTCCCTTCTTCTGGGTAAGTGTAGTTAAATACCTTGCACCTTTTGTTTAAATTAAAATTTAATTAAGCTGTTTACATTGTTATTAGGAATCGGGGCCCTCCCTAGACAATTTGATATCGCTGAAGATGAAGTGAGGATTGTTGGTGGAAACGCAACGACTATAGAAAAATTTCCGTACCTTGCACAGTTACGTCTTGATAATAATTTTGAGTGTGGGTCTTGCATTATTTCACCAAAGTGGGTTCTCACCGCAGGACATTGTGTCTATGGGTATGTAAATGACAAAACACTTAAAGCACATTGGTACAAAGAGACATTATGATTAGTAACGTTACCATTTATCTGCGACCTACTGATTGATTTCATTAGTACAATCTATTTCTCGTTCATCTCATCACCATCATCATCATCATAAAGTAGTCAGTCCTAAGACTGATTGGACACGCACTTCCACTTTTTGCTTTCCTGAGCTAATCTTCGCATTTCCCTAAAACTAGAACAACCCATATCCTTAACTATTTGCGCCTCCTACCGTGATGGTTAAATATAGTATTCACTACGGTTAAGTTATGTTTATCGTAAGATTCTATCAGATTAGTACTGTATCCTACATCTCTAAAATTCCTTTTAATTATATTATAAGCCTCATCGGTTTTACCTACTTCAAACTTTTCTTCTACTTCTTTACACATCCTATCAATCCACTGTTCCTTAGCTGCCCTACACTTCCTAATTATTTCCCACTTCATAGCTTTATATCTTTTTTGCCCTTCTTCGTCTGTCCTGTTTTTGTATTTCCGCCTTTCGTCTATTAATCCTACAATCTCATTTGTTATCCAGGGTTTCCTACTTTCGTTTTGTTTAAGACGTAGTACCTCTGTAGCTGCTGACCTTAGACACGTTTTAATGCAGTTCCATTCTGTCTCTATGTCCCCGTCATTCGTTTCTCTAGCCGCCATTAGTATTTCGTCTGTCCTTGTACCTAGCCTATCACGCGCTTCGTTACATTTTAGCTTTTCGTCGAGACGTCTCCTACCTTCCTTCTTTTTCAGAATTTTGAATTTAAGATTGGTCTTCATAACTACTAAATTATGATCGCTATCTATATCTGCTCCTGGATAACTCCTACAATCCTTCACTTGATTTTCAAATGTTTGCCTAACAAGTATATAATCTAACTGATATCTGCCTAAATCACCTGGCATCTTCCACGTATAGCGCCTCCTTACGTGATGGTTGAATAAAGTATTCGCGACGGTTAAGTTATGTTTATCGTAAGATTATATCGGCTTATCTCCCCTGTCATTTCTATTGACTAATCCAAAGAAATCTGCCATTGCACCCACTCGACTTTCACCTATTACTGCGTTAAAGTCCCCTACATCTATAAGGTTTTCCTGCCCTTTCACTAAACTTAACACGTCTTCTATATCTGCATAAACCGCTTCTACGTCTTCAACACTGTAAGATGATGCAGGCATGTAGACCTGCACTAATACCATTTTTACCAGCTTCGAGTTTAATTTAACCATAACTATCCTATCGCTTTTTTGTAAATAACTTTCTAAACACTCTGCCCTACTTTCCTACGCATTGCAATTGTATGCATTATTCTAAAGTATCCACTCCAGAAGTCACCAGCTTCGGGCCAACGCACTTAACTAATACCTACTATATTTATTTTTTAACCTATTTATCTCTACTTTTAAATTATCCAATTTCCCTATTTGTCCTAACATTCCACGCTCCGACTGCACTTATTGATGACACCCCCCTAAGTAGTCCCCTCCCGGACATCCGAATGGGGGACTAGTTTACGTCTGAAGTGCTTCACCCCAGAGAACGTCATCATTTGAGTTTGGTGTGTTTTTCTTGGGATATCATAATGTGGTGGTTCTCCATTGCCTTCCACATCGCAGTATTGTGCATCAGAGTGCCATACCGATCCTCGTGATCTCCGCCACCCTGAGTACTGAAAGAGCTGCTGCCCTCTTTCAGGGATTTGTCTTAGTCTGATTTCTCTTTAAGAACCCCCCACATTATGATTAAACCTATGATCCAGCTCCCTAAATCATCGAAACTCGCAAGCCGATCCACCCACTCTAGCTTGTACGAGAGTTTCGTCAAGGTTCAAGTCCCTTCGGATCAGCCTCGTTCGTTTAGAAACGTAAAATATATTATTCTTCGAAGATCGTCTTCTCTCTTCCCCTCCTCTAAACGAGCATGTTTATTGAAATTGAAATACAAGATTACCTATCTATTGTCGCTCAATTACAATCTGACCTGTCATTGCCCCAGCCTAGGGAAGGTTTCTTCCACGAGGTTACAATTTCAATTAGTTATGGTTTTATATTTACGTTGTGCAGTTAACGCTTGAGTACTAATTATTCTGTTCTTTGTAGGTATAGGGATCTTATAGACAACATTACGTTATTTGTAGGTGTTACCGAGTTCGATCAAACAGGAAACGAAGCAATTAATCTAGCAAAGTTATACATTCATCCCTTGTACAATGAAACAACACAGGACTACGACATAAGCATTCTGCTTCTAAAAAAACATCTTGTATTTGGAGAAAAAGTTAATTCAATTGCTTTAGCACCACCCAATGTTGTTTTACCTGTGGGAACTATGGCCACCGTTGCCGGTTGGGGTACTTTATCTTTTAATGGTGCCCTTCCTACGCAATTGCAGGAAGTGAATGTGCCCATTATTTCCAATGAGGAATGTGCTCGTCTTTACGTCGGCAGTAACGATACCTGGGTTTTTGATAGAAATTTATGTGCTGGTTATCCACAAGGAGGAAAAGACGCTTGTAATGTAAGTAAAAAAATAGATATTTCCTTGACAAGAAAGAGAGAAAAAAACACCGTGTCGAATTCAAAACAAACGTTTGAATTTTCTAACGATTCAGTAATTTTCGAGAAGGTCGTTTATCGAAATATGAAACACTGAGATTTTTAGAAGTGGTTAGTTTTTAATATGAAATATTAATTTGAAAATTCATTATTCCAATTTTTACCCGCTACAAACTACCGTAGGTTAATGAGGGAAAATTGTTGCTGTTGTCGAATCTCATTAATCTGAGGTAGTTTGTGAATACCACAAATGGCGCAGTAAACGCCACCTGTAGCACGATGCTACATTTTAGGATTACGTATGCTCCAACAAGGTAAGACAGCAGGTAAAAGTTGGTCTGTCGGAGCTGCCTGCGACGCGTTGATGAGATCCAAAAAGACCGAAATCGCGACCCGCGTCTGGCAGTTTCGACAGAATACAGACCACTTCGAATTATTTTATTCGAGGTAGTTTGTATTGGTTAAAAATTCGAAAAATTAATTTTCAGATTGATGCAGGGTCGTGTCGCCTTTAATAAAAAGAAGTCTCTTCTATGCTCGCGAACGGTTAATTTAGAAATTCGAAAAAGGTTGTTAAAGGTGTATGTTTGGAGTACGGCGCTGTACGGGTGCGGCGGAAAAGAAGGTTAGAAGCGTTCGAAATGTGGTGTTATAGGCGGATGATGAGGATATCGTGGGTAGAAAAGGTTAGAAATGAAGAGGTATTAGAAAGAGTAAGAGAACAGAAGATTCTATGGAACCCAATAAGAAATAGGCAAGATAGGTTGGTTGGACACCTTCTCAGGCATGAAGGGACATATTAGTGGCAGAAACAGGAGTTAGGAGAGGTAGAGGTAGACCTAGATTAGATTACTGTTCGCAAATAGTTAAGGATGGGCTGTTCTAGTTTTAGGGAAATGCGAAGTTTAGCTCAGGATAGGAAAGAGTGGAGGTACGTGTCCAACCAGTCTAAAGACTGATGACCTTATGATGATGATGATGATGTCATATTAAAAACTAACCACTTCAAAAAATGTCAGTGTTTCATATTTATAGTATATCTAGTACACATAATATAGAGAGTATATAGTATACATAGTGTATACAATTATATTAGTTCAACAGATCTGTGACTTAATAAGTACGGTTTGTCGTTGTTGCTGTTGTTATCTCTCGTAGCTTAGTGGTCAGGGCATTGGTACGTAATGCGAAAGGTCTGGGGTTCAATTCCCGGCGAGGGTGTGACAAGAGTAACAATTTTCCTTTATTAAGCTAAGGTAGTTTGTAGTGGATAAAAATTCGAAAAATGAATTTTCAGATTAATATTTCCTATCGTTTATCGAATACTTATCGAACTAAGTCTTTTCTTTATTAGAAAAGGATCTTATCAAACACTATTGTATCCCACAGAAAGTAGCAACAGCTGATAGTGTGGTCTACGTTCACGTTGGAACTGCCTACAACGTGTTTGTTGTTTTGGTTCTTTTTTTAATGGTGAAATAGTAATCACAATCGCTGAATTATTATTATGAATAATATGTGTTGGAGTTAATTTCTTTTTAATATTATATGTTCAACAATTTACTATTCATACTAAATCTTCCATATAGTAGGGTAATTTTCAGTAGAAGGAAATATCTTATTGTTGTGCTTTGTATTAATCATTTTGACGAAAAGACGGTGAAAATAGATTTGAGTATTGTAGAACTGTTTATTAAGGTTTTATTATTATTATCAAATTCTTGAATTGTGAATGAAGAAAGAATTAAAAACTAATTTCGATTAGTTAATCTCAAAATATCTGAGGAATTTGAAATAATATTTATTATAATTATGATGTCAGTTTATCTAACGGGATTATTTATAACCGAATTATTTAATCTTATGATTGGAATCTCAAACCATTTGAAGAATGTGATGTGATATTTAGGGAATTATGTTGTCAGTTTATTTAGTGAGATACTTCATAACCGACTTATTTAATCCAATGGTTGCACTTAACGCCAAAATAAAATTAATTACATTAGTAACATATTAGTTCTCTACATGCCGACTTCCGGTTTCTATGGACATCAACAAATGGCGACGACAAATGGATTGAAGTTTTTTAACTATTTGTTAGAATTATTTTGTAGGCACTCAGTGATTTTTATTTGGACCTTTATCTCCCTTCCAATGAAAAATGCATCCAAGTTCAACCTTCCAGATATACTTTTATGAAATCTAAGTATGTTTAACATGTAACTACGTATTTCTTAGTGAAAACACATGTTTTTGAAATAAAATTTATTCCCTTAGATCCTTCTGTTATTTGGATCAAATCGTACACGACTATTGGATCCAAACACATACAATATTCATGTACTTAAGCATTTTTCCTCGGAATATCATAACGTCTTTAACTATTCCTTCTGATGCCATAATGGCATAGAGGCTAACATGTTTATATTAGTTTTGTGTGGCAAATTAGAAGCATGTTTCGTTTCTGTTACAGGGTGATTCTGGAGGACCACTGACAGTGAACGGTGTACTTTATGGATTGGTTTCTTCCGGTACAGCTTGCGCTCTTCCCGGACTTCCGGGAACCTACACCAATGTTTCAAGTGTACGCTCCTACATCACATCAGTTACAGGACTTTGATTGCATGGGTTTGATAATATACTTTTAATTGTATAATTTATTATTATCAATAAAAGAACTACTAGTGTTACAGCGTGTGTTTTTTGAACGCACCTAAAGTCACAGTAATATATTCTAGTGCCTACACATAAAATTATTGAAGCAACAGGTCAGTGAGAAGCGATAACAATGTACGTTTCTGGTCGAATTTAGAAGAGACTAAACAGTAGACTTGGGAATTGTAGTTCAATTCACTGACGTAGTTAAATAAATTTTCTTCAATGATCTAGTTCAGTAGTTCATTTAGTTCAGTTCAGTACGCAAAACGTCCAATAATGTAGTACAACTCATACCTTTTCATTACGATCTATTTTCAATTGATTTTACTCATGTATTTTCAAATTTTTCGTCCCCATTTCCCACTTCTCATGTAAAACTTCCCTTACGCTTCTCAACCAATGAAAAAATAAATGCGCAAAAGCAAATTGTACGTTTTATATGCAAAATTGGCACGTAATTACTGTGGAAAGATTTACGCAGTTTTTTTCTGATTGGTTTGTGACTGCCACAAAATGGGGATGGAGATGAGTCGAATAGTCCCGATAGGCTGAAAATACATGAGTCCTACTGTACAAGATGTGAACTACTGAACTACAATTCTTTCAATTGCTGAACTACTTCACTCGGCTCAATTGAAGTGAACCGTTCTTGTGACCGACTCGTTCATGAGTTACACAAGTCTAGTAAACACGTATTTTTTAGAAAATGGAAAAAAGAAATAGCATTCATTCCTCCGAATATTTACATTAAACTGAACTGGAATGACATAGTTTCAGGTTTTCGACTTTCTGTTAGCAAGTATATAGAGTTTGTGCAAATCTTTAATTAGATCGGTGCCAATGTTTCATTGCTATTAAAAAAAATCCTTTTCAATTACACCTGTGATACATAAATCTATCTAGAACAACCCAGACAATCTAACAAAAGTAGGAATTCTCATTGAAAAAATGGTTTGTTTCTTGGCGGCACCATACGTAGGTGTAATCCTAAAAGGATGCGGTGCCGATCGTTGTTAATGTTTGATTTATTCAGATATATACATTTTTAAACCTTTGTGCATTTTTAAAGAATTACTTTTGGATTGTTTACAAGTTTTTTGCTAGGTATGTCTAGCTTTTTCTAGTAGTCAAAGTTGAGAAAGGGGTCTGGAAGTCCATATCATAGTTGACATTGACACTACACTACGACTAGTATGGATTTTTAAATTTTGTTATTCTAGCGTTAATTCTCACATTAGAAGTGGACGGAACGCATCGAAAAGATTAAATGGCCACTAGGATGAAGTTTTTGTAGTTTATTTGGTTTTAAAAAAAATTTGAATTATAACGTTTCAATCATTCCTTGATATCGTGGCATTTATCTTTCTCGAGATCAAGTCTAGTAAATCGAAATGGAGAAAACTTGGATGCCAATTATTTTGTTGTTTATATGTATTAAGTTTGATTATCACTATCATCTAGACAACGCGCGGGCAGGAAGCCGTCCGTCAAAATATTGTTCAGTTTAATAAGCATTTTGTATTCTGACTATCCGTGTGTCACTGATAGTCGGTGTCTGCCGGTGATGGATAATCCAGAAGAGAATACCATCACCTGTTGATGAGAGTCGTTGATGCTAATGAGAATACCTTCAGTTCTTTGGTAACCAGCCGAGGGGAGGTCTGTGGTCTTATTATGCGATATCATTAAACTGATCTATCAATTCCTTATATGACCTTGTACGAGGTCTGTTCAAAAAGTATCATGAATTTTGTGTTTTTTTAAAAATTATTTATTTATCCATGAATATCTATTTTGTCCTCTTCAAAGTAATCCCCACCAGATATTATATACTTGTGCTAACAACAATCCTCGAAGCACTTCAAAAAATCATTTTATGTGATCTTGTTCAGTTTCTCCTTTGATGCAGTTTTTTCTCGTCAATTGTAGCGTAGCGTTGTCCTTTCATGGGCCTCTTCAGTTTCGGTAACAAGAAAAAGTCACAGGGGGGCAGATCTGGGGAACACGGTACCTGTGGCATTATTAGTGTTGTTTCTGGTCAAAAGTTCGCGCATAAGCAACGATGTATGAAAAGGGGTTATCATGGTATAAAAGCCAATTTTTGTTCTTCCATAAGTCCGGACGTTTCTGGCGGATTGCTTCCCGCAAATTGCGCGTAACTTGTAGGTGTAATATTCCTTCTTGACCATTCTATCATGTGGTAAGAACTCATGATGCACCACGTCCCTGTAATCGAAGAAAACTGCATGCAAATCCTTCATATTCGACCTAACTTGGCGCACTTTTCTCAGTCTTGGTTCGTGCGGTAGGTTCCATTGGGATTACTAAGCTTTGGTTACCACGTCATAACCATAAACCCATAATTCGTCACCAATTATAACCCTCTCGAATAAATTTGGGTCGTCGCGGATAGAGTTCAACAGCTTCTTAGCAATTTTGGTACGAATTTCGCGGCGACTCGTCTCATGTCCAAATCATTGGTAAAATGGAAGGAGCCAATCGATATGTTTAGGTCCTCAGCAGCTTCTCTAATGGTGATTTGACGATTGGCCAATACTATTTTCTTCACTTCATCAATGTTTTCATCTGTTGTTGACGTGCTCAGGCGTCCGACACGCTCTTCGCCGTTCACATCTTCTCGGCCCTCTGAGAACATTTTGTACCATGGATAAACGTTTTTTCGGTCCAAGGTAGCTTCACCATTAGTACAATCAATGTTCCCAATCTGTCCACAAACTTAATTCTGTTTTTTGAGGGTAATTTTAGTTTGAAGGGTTGTAGGAATGTGAGTGGGGACTTTCATGAAGGATTCTCATTTGGTATTATTCGATGGAATACCAGGGTAATGGACGAAAGAGGGGAAAATGACCATGGAAAGGGTTACTTTCTATAATTAGTTAAAGCGTGAGCTTTCGAATATTACCAACTGAGAGGGTAGGTACATAATAGGGTGGATTCGAACGCAACACGCGTCACGTCACGCATCACATGTGACCCCAGGTGGATATACCCAAAAGGAGTCATTTGAACAAGCTTCAGAAGCTAGCCTGTTAGTAGAAACCGATAATCCGAAAATTGCCATTTCGACAAATTGTCAGCAGATCGCTGTATTACATATGGATTGCATACGCGTTTGTGTTTGTTTTGATTTGTAATTCCCCTTTGAAGTTCTGTATGGTGCAAACGTAGAAGTTTTTTAAAAAATTGAACCAAATATTTCGCATTCGTCCGCTCGAAATAATGTTGAATTTTTCTGGTGTTTGGCAATTAGATAATGCAATAGCTTAAGTCAATTTTCTTTTAAAAATACTACTATAATACTAGGGCTTGTCGGTTTTTAAAAACCGGTTTTTAGTAGAAAATATCGGTTTTCAATGTATGAATAACATTTAAAAAAAATTTGAAAATGACAAATGTAGCCAAATTTACCAGATTGATGAATACACTGTTGCAAGCGGTTTGGTTCTTGGAATCATATCGGTCGCAAGTGGTTTGGTGTGTTTTGTCTATTGGATGAATTAATTTAGATTTTCCATCAGTTTGTCTTCTGGTTTCTTTATGTACAGTTTAGTAAATAATTTCAGTCAAAAACTGCTTTTAATCACGGTTAAAACCGGTTTTCTGGAAAAATTACTATCCGAAAACCGGTTTTCTAAAATGTCGATTTCTGTATAAACCCTATATAATACACAACCTAAAGAAGTTTCACTTCTTGCGCGTGTGCACTAATACACGCTTTCCCCGTTTTTTGTTTTTGTTGCGTTTCGATATAAACGGGCTACAAAAAAGTTATCTTCACAAGGCGCCTCGTGTGTTTTAATTACTAGGTAGTTGATAATACGTCTGCTACCGGTACCAATACAATAATTATCAAAATAACGATCACTTTCACTTTATGTATGTTTTATTATGAAGGTCTTCTTATTTATAACTTTAGCTTCACTTGTTTTGGGTAAGTGTTATTATGTACCCTACGTCTTTTCTATGAATTTATATTTAGTTAAGTCATGCATTTGTTAGGAGTATGGGCTTTCCCAACACAGTCTGATATCGATATCGTTGAAGATGAAGGGAGGATAGTCGGCGGAAACGTAACGACTATAGATAAGTTTCCGTATATTGCACAATTATATATTGCAAATGAATTTTCGTGTGGAGCTTGCATTATTTCACCAAAATGGGTCCTCACAGCAGCGCATTGTACTTATGAGTAAGTAAATGACACTAGGGGAAAATTATGGCTAATTGCATTGCCATTTTTAGAGTTTTGCATTTCGAACGATTCACTGATTTATTTAGCTATTAGAACTAGGGCTGAAAAGTTCGTAGGCTAGCATAGAAAAAATTATTTTTTTTTGATAGAATTTGATTTTATTATTCAATATAGTTTTTTTCGAGGGCGATACAACGATTATAGAGGTCTTACAATTTTTCGATATCAATTTTATAATACGATTTGTCTTTAGCCTCAAAATAGGCTTCAGTTTCAGCTATTACCTCTTAATTTCTGTCCAGCGAGCATCCTCTTGAGGTCTGAGAACAGAAAAAAGTCGCTGGGTGCCAAATCTGGAGAGTACGGTGGATGCGGAAGCAATTCGAAGCCCAATTCATGGAATTTTGCTATCGATTTCATTGATTTGTGACACTGTGCATTGTCTTGATGAAACAGCACTTTCTTCTTCAAACAACAAAAGTTCTTTCACTAAAAATGCTATAACTCAGATACTAATAGTGCAACAGCTGTCAAATTTATGCACGTGTTTTTTGAAGGTTAGGGCTAACTAAAAATCATATGGATTTGATACTGGTAGAGCCATATATGGGTCAGCCTATGAACTCTTCATCCCGCGCTTGTACTTCTCGTTGAATTAGAAACTTGAAATTTTGGTGCTTAGGAAAATTACACACAAAAAAAATGTTATCTGGTGTGGAATTGCTACTGATAAAGTAATCTCTTCAATTTTGATATAGGCAATCTATGGTGCTATTATTTTTTATTGTTATTCCCAGAATTTTTTTTTTACGTAAAAACGTTAGCTTACAACATGGTGTGGATCATTTTTATAGCCTTTGGAGAGACATTGAGTTGATTTTGAGTCCGTCTGGTATAATGGTTTAAACAGATCTGCGATTTTCTTGTAGTGCAGTGAAACAACAGAATATAGAATCAGTTTGGGAATCCTTTATAATAGAGTGGATTCTTCCAAATTGTATCAACAGAAAGGGGTAGAAGGGACGTTAAAATTTTTTATTTTTTCATAAAAGTGATTAAATTCGACGGGACTTAAGTCTTGACTAAACTCTTGTACAAGCTAGAGGGGGTGGATCAGCTTGCGAGTTTCGATGATTTAGGGAGCCGGACTATAGGTTCAGCCATAATGGGGGGCGGGGGTTCTTACAGAGAAACCAGACTTGAGAGAAACAGTCCTTGAACGAGGGCAGCAGCTCTTTGAGTACTCAGGGTGGCAAAGATCACGAGGATCGGTGTGGCACTCTGATGCACAATACTGCGATGTGGAAGGCAACTGGAAACCACCACATTATGATCCCGAGTACAACGTACGTTAAAAATTAAATGATGGCCTCCTCTGGGGTAAAGCACTCCGGACGTAAACTAGTCCCCCATTCGGACGTCCAGGCGGAGACTACCTCGGGGGATGTTATCAATAAGTGCAATAGGTATAGGTGCAATATTTCACGAATCGGATCGTGGAATGTTAGGATAATGAAAGAGGCAGAAACAGGAGCTAGATATTCTAGTTTTATGGATAGGAAAGAGTGGAGGTGCGTGTCCAACCAGTCTTAGGACTGACTACCTTATGATGATGATGTAAGACGTTCAGCATCGTGAAATGCTTGCTATAACAGGAAAAAATATACCTATCCCATTGAACAGTACTATTAAACCACTTTCTTTAATGTCCAATGCCGGCAACATGCTCAAATTCTGCTTGGCTGCATCTCTTTCTGTTACACATCAATTGATGCAATGTTACTCTCGCTTCTCTATTAGTGTTCGCTGCAATTCCTACCTGACATCTCTTTCCTATGTTTACGATATTCACTACAACGTCTGACGTGAGTAAAAGTATGGTAGACGTTCTGCCAGCAACCATTCTAGTCTGGTTAATAAGTTGAAAGAAAAAAGTAAATGTGACGGTTTTATTTTTAATTTTAGACGTCCCAACAATAGATCGGTTAATTCTAACAATAGAAATCGTTTGGTGGTAATTAAAGTGAGACTTTTTTTAGTGTATTTAGTTTTGAAATATAACGTTCCAAACATTCCTTAAAGTCGTGGCATTTATCTTTTTCGTTTTACAGGGAAAATGCAAGTAACGTCACGTTACGTGTCGGTGCTAGCAGGTTTAATCAAGTAGCAAATGAAGCAATAATTGTAGCAGAGATACACATTCATCCATTGTACAACGACTCAACGATAGACTACGATATAGGCATTCTCCTTCTGAATAAAGATCTTATTTTTGGAACAAGAGTTGCTTCAATTGACTTACCACGTTCCAACGTTGTGTTACCTGCCGGAACTTTGGCAACCGTTGTCGGTTGGGGTACTTTGGCTTATAACGGTACCTATCCGACACAATTGCAGGCAGTAACCATGCATATTGTTTCCAATGAAGAATGTGCTCGACGTTACCTTGGCAAAAACGAAACTTATGTTACTGATAGAAATTTGTGTGCTGGTGAGAAAAAAGGAGGAAAAGACGCTTGCAGTGTAAGTAGCCAAATTTGAAATGTAATGTAGCGAGCACGAGTGTGTTTGTGTGCGATCGGGCACACGTGTGAGTGAATGGCTTATCGATTCGCCGACTAGACGCGGGCGCCTTTCTTCATGTGCGCAGTATTTGTAAATGTGTGTGTCGTACCTGCATTCTGGAAAAGCAGTTAAACAGTTCAAAGAATAAATAAACTATCCGGATGTTTCCAGAAGGTTCCAGAAAGTAAACAAAAGAGTATTTAAAGGAAGAGACGATCGCAGATAGGAGAAGAAACAAATTGACCGTTGCAGAAGTGAATCGAGAAATAAATTGACAGTGATAGCAGTGAAATAAATAGCGCAATGAATAGTGATATATCAACAGTAGTGTAAATAAATAGAATAATTTATAACCTAAGCTTAGTAATAATTTAATAGTGTTTTTAAAATCTTTAATAATTAGTGTAAATAAATAGTTCTTGTCGTTACCAGTCTTAGAAGTTAATTTGGTTAAACCCACGATCATTACAGTAACAATATAAAATAGGAGTTGAAATCGAGTTGAATTATTATAAGACTACTACTAAGAATTGGGGGAAATTTCATTCTTTTTTGTTTGTTTTCGTGGAAGAGGGGAAATCTTCATAAAACACCCAGCTGCCCGTACGACTAGGTAGTGTTGGATTTACTCCGAAAAGCGCCTACCAACTAAAACCTCCCTACCCAGGCCATTAGAGGACCTATCCATTCAGGTCCTCCTCAGCCTAGCAATGTTAGAAAAATGTGAAAGTTATTGAATACTTAAGTTGTCAACGGCAAAAAAATGGATATATTAAAGCGAAAGAAGGGTGGTTGTATTCAAATGTCATATGCTTTTAGTCAAATTGGTAAAGGTTTCGCGGCCAGTAGGTGAACTGATGCTGTTCTGATTTGGGTCTAAAGGTCGTTGTCGGAATGTGAGTTGTCCACATTCAGCACGGAGATGGAAGGATTTCTGAAGAAACTGGGCACGCGTACTAGCGGAGCATTAGAAATCATCTCCAATCGACGCAAAATATCAGGATCGGCTTTATAACTGCCTGGTTGGAATTATATCTTTAAACAAGGGTCTTTGCTTTCCTAAATTTTGCTTGTCAGCGTCTCTTTCTGTTACACGTTAATTGGTGTAATGTGACAGCAACCACTCAAGTCTAGTTAATAAGTTCAAAGAAGAAAGGAAAGAAAATAAAAATTTTATGGCGGACTATGCTAATTTTAAACGTCCTAGATTAGATTACTGTTCGCAAATAATTAAGGATGTGGGATGATCTAGTTTTAGGGAAATGCGAAGATTAGCTTAGGATAGGAAAGGGTGGAGGTGCGTGTCCAACCACTCTTAGGACTGACGACCTTATGATGATGAAGTTACTAAACCAAATGTGGAAATTCGAAATATTCAAAAATGAATTGAAAATTAATTCCAAATAGTTTGAAAAATTCCATAATATTTGGGAAATTTAGAATGATATTTACGGAATCATGTCTCCAGTTCAAAATTTAGTGGGATTTATTTATTTTTGCGATCACACATTAGCGATGCAACGGAAATGTGATGAAGGAAAGTAGAAACACTATATTTTTGCGGACGCGGAGACGGAAGCAGATGCGGAAGTGTAGTGATTTTAGGCGACTCTTTAATGTATACGTCCTTTTCGCGAATATTTTGTTACAAAATTTGCATTTAGCACTTGCATTGTTAATATCAGCAACTTGACTTGTTGTTTTTAAGTAATAATTGCGTAGATGCTATTTAACATGTTTTGAATAAATTTTGTGTTACAAGTTACAAATCAGAAGATGTTTCGTTTAAGGGTGATTCTGGAGGACCACTGACAGTGAATGGTGTACTTTATGGATTGGTTTCTGGTGGTATGGGTTGCGCTGATGCCAGATATCCAGGAACCTACACAAATGTTTCAAGTGTACGCTCCTACATCACATCAGTTACAGGGCTTTGATCGCTTGGATTTGATGACGTACTTACTTAAGTCTGTAATTTATTTTAATCAATAAAAAATACCAATATTACAATGTATACTTACATGAATGCATTTAAAGCCATAACAACATAGTCTAGCGCTATAAACAAGTACTGATTTAAAAAATTTTCTTTTGTTTACCATAAAAAAAAAGAACACTCAATATTTCTAGATTTTCGAGATTCTTTAACTACATTATATTAAAAAATGTGAATTCGATCGGTTTCTTTAGTATGTGATGCTCCAATATTCTCATAGCAACACTGGTTTTCTAAAAGTATATAAATATGAGCGGTAATATAAAGATAGGAGACGAAGAATTAGAAGAAGTGGCCGATTTTAGATATCTAGGAAGTCAGATAAGTGAGGATGGAAGGAGTAGTAGGGATATAAAGCAGAGGATAGCGCAGGGTCGACTCGCCTACAATAAAAATAAATCACTTCTACGCTCGCGAACGGTTAGTTTAGAAATTCTAAAAAAGTTGTTAAAGGTGTACCTTTGGAGCGCTGCGCTGTACGGGTGCTAAATATGGACAGTGGGAGCGGCGGAAAAGAAAAGGTTAGAAGCGTTTGAAATGTGGTGTTATAGGCGGATGATGAGGATAACGTGGATAGAAAAGGTTAGAAATGAAGAGGTATTGGAAATAATAGGAGAAGAGAGGATTCCATTGAAGGTAATAAGAAATAGGCGAGATTATAGGTTAGTAGGACGCCTTCTCAGGCATAAAGGTCTAGTCAGAGACATTTTAGAGGCAGAAATGGGAGTTAGGAAAGGTAGAGGTAGATCTACATCAGACTACTGTTTGCAAATAGATAAGGATGTGGGTTGTTCTAGCTTTAGGGAAATGCAGAAATTAGTTCAGGATAGGAAAGGGTGGGGGTGCATGTCCAACCAGTACCGAGCGGCTTGGCCTAGAGGTTTAGGCCGCCGCTTCGATTCCGGGTCCGTCTGCGTTGATCCGAGTTTTTCTGTGGTTTCCTTGGATCACTTAGGCAAATTCTGGGGCAGTAATATTTCATAGATAATCTTTCATCCTCTTCTGTCTTTATTTCGTTAGTCTCAACTTTCTCACCCGAACCATCACCCACCCATTCCCACGATTCCTGAAAGCAGGCTGAAGAGGGCCTTCCGCCCTACCTTCCGGCATAGTCTGGAGGGACTGCCCGCCCACCAGCATTACTGGCTGGTGGGAATGAAACACCCAAAAGTTTTTTTTTTGTCCAACCAGTCTTATGACGATGAACAAAAACAGCTCTCTCTCAGCGGACTATGATACATTTTCGGAGATGATTGGGTACCTATTTATGTTAGGATTTGATTCACAGGTAAATTTTTAAACTATCGTCGGCATATTCTCGAAAAAGCATCTTTAATAAGAAAAATAAGAAATATACAATAAAAGCGTCGATCATTTTCAAGAGTACAGGAAAATTTAACTAAGATTAGTAGATTGGTACAACCATATTTTTACGCTTGAAGGATGAGACAGAGTTACTAGTAATAGGAACTTAAAATTTAGGTACCAATAAGTAAAAGTCTTTTATATATAAGAATTTCTTTTTGAAAGTTAACAAGATTTTCTATTCAACCTATTCCTACAATTCTTAAAAGGGTGCTGACGAAGGACATTTACTATTCGGCTTTATAATTCTATAGTTTGTAACAATTCGGAGGGACTGCCTACCCACTAACATTTCTAGCTTTAGTCAAAATTAAATAGGAATTTTTTTTTTATTTATGATATTAAATAAATAATACTTAAAAATGCAGGAGCAAAGTCACTTCTATGCCCGTGAACGGTTAATTTAGAAATTCGAAAAAGATGGTTAAAGGTGGATGTTTGGAGTGCGATGTTGTACGGGTGCGAAACATGGACGGTGCACGAGGCGCAAAAGAAAAGGTGTTACAGGTGAATGATGAGGATATCGTGGACAGAGAATGCTAGAAATGAAGACGACCTTAAGATGATGATGATGACATTTATTTTTCCCTGGTCTTGAAAATGACTGGTTAGGTTACTGAAACAAATGTCGAGGAATTTACTATATCACTCCTGACAACACATTTATAAATGATTGTTGCGTTTTGATATAAGATTAAGTTAAAGTATCCACAAAAAAATTATCTTCACATTGCCTCGTGTGTTTCAGTAATAACTTGATAACGGTTTATAGTACCAATGCAAAAACTATAAATAGCAAAATAAAGATCACTGTCATTGGTTTGTTGGCAGTTACCCAAATACAATTTACTATGAAGATCATTTTGTTGATAACTTTTGCTTCCCTTTTTCTGGGTAAGTGTAATTATGTATCCTGTTTCATTTGTTTCTAATTGAAACATAGTTAAGTGATGTAAATGTTAGGACTTTGGGCCATCCCTAGTCAATCTGATATCGCCGAAGATGAAGGGAGGATTGTCGGTGGAAACGCAACGACTATAGAACGTTTTCCGTATGTTGCACAGCTGTATCATGCAAATGTATTTTTTGGTGGAGCAACCATAATTTCCCCAAAATGGGTCCTCACCGCAGGACATTGTACTTATGGGTAAGTACAAGTGACAGAACAGTTACGGCTCCTTGACACGAACGGAAGCTATAGTTAAACACATTAATGTGAATTAATTATTAGCAATTACCGATAACCTCAAATTATAGAAGAAAAATTGTTGTCACTGTCACCCTTGCTGGAAATAGAACCTGAATCTTTAACAACATAGATTCTGACCACTGAGCTACGATAGACGATCTTACTTATTACGTCACACAATCGCCAAAATTATACTTCGTTTACTTTCTCTAGTGATGTGCCCCTTCCAATGTTTTGGATGCGCGTTGGCAAAATCGTAGGTAGGGAGAAAGAAGCTCATTATACTCTCGACTCTTGTTCATTAAACATACTTTTTCATACAGTACCTGGCAAAAGTTTTGTTCAATCATGAATAGTAGTGCGAGTCGAAAACAAGCGTTAAAGCCTTTAATATGTCAAATATAAATAAGCATCTCGTTGATATTTTCAGTAGTAAATGGTATCAATAACAGCACATTTGAGCAATGAATTTGTAGTGGATAAAATGACCAATTTTTCCATGCAGTACTGTACGGTTTATATGCTCCTCATCGGTTAAAAGTTTGGCCGAGAGTTGTCTCCTTCTTTTTCTGGCCTAGTGCTGTTCTTTTCTACTTTGCGCAGGTCAAACTGAATGTCACATCGCTACAGAAAGTAAACGAAGTGTAATATACGGGGCATCCTATATTAGGCACTTTTGCGGGGATCTTCCTCCTTTTTAATGATAAAGGATTGCGGTTTTTCGCAGCGGGCTACTTTTTTGTGAAATAAAAGATGTCGCCACCAAATTTTTATATCTATTTTGGTTTTGGAGATTGAAAAGTATCACCATTGAGGCACCCCCTCATATCAGTTATTTTTAAACTTACTGAAGAAGTTAAATCATGTTCTTATAGAATATTTTCCGTAGAATCAAATGGCATTTTCCGTTTTTTACTTGTGACGCAAACATATATCTTTTTTAAGCATAATGTATAGCTACCTATAACTACATACAATTATTTTCAAAAACAAGCTCATCCTTAAAGAGCTTCTAATAAAGCTTTATTTTTGGTCGAATAAATAGATGGTGTAGATTACGACTAATCTGACTAGACCTTCATGCCTGAAATGGTGTCCTACTAACCTATCTGACCTATCTCTTATTGACTTCCGTAGAGTCCCCTGTTCTCCTATTCTTTCCAATACCCTCTTCATTTCTAACATTTTCTACCCACGTTATCTTCATCATTCGCCTATAACACCACATTTCGAACGCTTCTAACCTTTTCTTTTCCGTCGCGCCCACTGTCCATATTTCGCATCCGTACAACGCCGTGCTTCAAACATACACCTTTAACAACCTTTTTCGAATTTCTAAATTAACCGTTCGCGAGCATAGAAGTGACTTCTTTTTATTAAAGGCGACACGATCCTGTGCTATCCTCTGCTTTATATCCCTACTACTCCTTCCGTCCTGACTTATCTAACTTATTTAAAATCAGCCACTTCTTCTAATTTTTCGTCTCCTAGCTTTGTATTCGCTCTTTCTCTACTTTTCCTTCCCTTGTATACCAATATTTTAGTTTTACTTTTATTTATTTTCATACAGTACTGATCTGTCAGTACCGCTTCCATTTTATTTAAAGCTATCTCTAGGTCCTCCTTGCTAGATGCTAATACTGCTATATCATCTGCAAATCTAAGCTTTTGTCCTTGTATATCTATCCCTACATCTGTAGGTACTGTCTTTAATAACGTTGATCGCCTGACTCCCCTCCTAATATTTACTTCTCTACGTTGCAGCCCTACATCTATGACTGCCTGTTGCTCTTTATACAAATTAAGTATCACTTTTCTATCTTTGTATCTCATCCCTACAGTTTTAAGTATATTTAACATCTTGTCCCATTTAACATTGTCAAAAATTTTTTCTAAACCTACAAATCCTATGTACGCACTTCCTTTTTCTATCGTTTTCTCTATTATTACCCGTAAAGCTCGAATCGCCTCCCGCGTTCCTCTATTTCTTCTAAACCCGAATTCATCTTTCCCTAATAGTTCTTCCGCCCTTTTTTCCATCCCCCTCTGTACAATTCTAGTTAAGATTTTTGACGCATGGGAAGTTAAGCTAATTGTTCTAAATGTCGCACACGTATTAAAAGAATCAAAAAACAGTATCTCTCACTTTTTATTTAACGACATTCAGAATAACGAGCATTTAATCTTTTCCATGCGTAATTTCAGTAATGACGATAAGTATGAAATACAATTAATAGGATAGGATAATATATTTTATCAGAAAATAAAAATTTTAATCTTTTAGTAATCGAATATTAACAAAAAAAAAGTATTTCTTGAAAATATTTTTTTCACTACCTACTTTCAGTTCTAAATAAATAACAGTTTCAGCTGAGATCTATATCATTCAACGTGTGTAATTAAATATGATAATCTTTCATATTGATATATTTATCAAGAAACTTGAATTAAATCCATGTCAGTAGTCATTAATTTGTATCTAACTATGATTGATCAGAACGTTTATAAAAAATTCGGTTGTCTGTAAAGTCGGTTTACTGACGATAGTTGAACGCGACAACGTCATAAGAAAATACTGATGGGATGGTTTCATTTTTCAAAAGAAAATTTTAATTTTATTTGTTTGATAGATATTTTGTATGGATATAGAGAAGGAGGTAAATGGAAATGTATTATTGTATAGCAGCTGTCCACGCGGACGCATCGCTCACTCAAGTAGGAGAGAGACAGATGTCGAACGCTGCCGAACGCGGAGGCCGATTGTGCCTCTTTGTCGCTTGTTCCGCGTTCTCGCTTGCACTTCAAGCCTTACATGGAACGCCTCAGAGCGAGGTAACGCCGCATGAGTCATGTTTTTTCGTGCGTGCAGCCGGCTCCATCGAATTATAAGACGTTGTCACGTCAAAAATAAAGATTAGTTAGCTGAAATAGTTAAGATTACAGGAGCAGACAGATTGCCCTGTAAAACTTAAATTGGAACTAAAGTACGGATATTCTTTTCAACTTTGAAATGTCCGGTTCGGTGACTCACCTTTCAGGACAAATCTTTGGTGAAAATATCTGTAATCACCTGTTGAGTAGAAACATGACTTATGTTCATCGCCACGGTCGTCAGTAAATATGGCGATTAGTTCGATTTTAATTAATAAACCTTGAAGGTAATTACTGTTTGCAAATAGTTAAGGATGTGGGCTGTTCTAGTTTTAGGCAAATGCGAAGTTTAGCTCAGGATAGGAAAGAGTGGAGGTACGTGTCCAACCAGTCGTAGGACTGACGACCTTATGATGTTCTTTATAGTCTAGATCTGTCATGTGTTCGTATCATTATTCATTTAGATTCAGGTATATCAGTATCCAGAAGTGTATGAAAAGTAGAATTCGCTATTTGATGTAGCACTAAGAGTGCCAGGGATCTCAATAGCAAGCATATTCGCCTATAAATTGTCGAACTGTCTGTCTGGTTTTTCAACATGTTTTGATAATGGTTGTAAGTCATTCAATTACAGACACGCAGCCACTTTCTTATTTTCATCATTAAAAACAATACTTTATATAAAAGTAATAAATTTGAAATTAAAACTTGAAGTATATGGTTTTTCATTGCCGTCATAGCTGCTTTATCAACATGTGTTAATATATTGTGGCGCCACGAAAATCGTACTAGTGCTATCAATTCCTTTAGATGTGAAATTACTTCTAAAAATCATACATCTCATTCAATGATTACTTTCCCAGACTGTTAACCATTTCCTATAGCCCATACCATTTTTATTGAAGCGGGTACCCAAAAAACATCCTTGATCGATCTTGGTGAAAGTATATTCTTCGTGAGGTCTTTATCAACAAAGTGCAGGATAGAACCAAAAGCTTTTATATGATTAAAATGATGTAGGTACTTTATTAACAAAACTGATAAATATTTTATGGCAAGTTTAGGTAGTAATTTAGGACCGTCAGTTGTTGAGAACGGGTTAGCTTATGAAGCTTTTTAAAATTACCCCTTTTAGATTCCTTCACCAGATGGCAGACTAGTCGAATCTCTCTTTGCAAGTAAGAAGAAAGGGGATGCGCACAACACGTTCAATTTTTTACTAGCGATGACGGAAGAAGTTTACCTACACCTGGGAAATTTAAAGCCAGCTTAGGGAAAAAAGGATTTTTATTTAACTTATAATATAATTTTTGTGCCAAATTAATTCCTGTTATTTAAGGGTTACTAGCACTTTGAAAATTTCGTTTCTTTCAATACTTAGGTAACGAACAAAGTCTTCCTTTTTGTTCCAAATTATTCGTTTTTAAACATCCTTCTGTCAGCATAAGAAACTCGATGAAAATATAAGAAAATTTCGGTAAAAAGTAGGGAATACGATGATTTTAATCTGCCGACGCTGATTTTATTTTGGGTGTTTCATTCTTACCAGATACTAATGCCTTTAGACCACGGCGGAGGATAGGGCGGAAGCTGTTTTTCATTCACGTTTTAGGAATCGCGGGATTGGGTGGGTGCTGGTTGAGGTGAACGAAATGAAAACAGAATATATATACATAGACTCGGAATCGAACTCGTGTCCTCCCGAATGCAAATCTGTACACCAGAATTCCAATACCCCGATTTCTATTTCTCGAAACCAAAGTATCTGAGAAATCGAAATCAAGAATTCTTGGATACCAATTATCTTGTTGTTTTTATAGGCAAAATACAAGCGACGTTACTTTACGTGTCGGTGCTACCCCGTTTAATCAAACAAGAAATGAAGCAATAATTGTAGCAGAGATACACATTCATCCCCGGTACAACGATACAACGGTAGACTATGATATAAGCATTCTCCGTCTGCAAAAAGATCTTGTATTTGGAAGAAGAATTCATTCAGTACCTCTACCACCACGCAACGTCGTTTTATCTGCGGGAACGGCAGCTACCGTTGTCGGCTGGGGTCGTTTATCTTACCAAGGTGAACGTCCAACACAGTTGCAGCAAGTATCAGTGCCAATCATTACTAATGTAGAATGCGCTCGTCGTTATGCTAACACTACCGAAGTCTATGTTACTGATAGAGTTTTATGTGCTGGCTTTCAACAAGGAGGAAGAGACGCTTGTAATGTAAGTAAGAAAATAAAGAAATTCGAAGTGGTCAGTATTCTGTCGAAAGCCATACGGGGATCGCGATTTCGATCTTGTTGTATCTCATCAGCGCGTCGCAGACAGTTTCGACAGAACACAACCAACTGTTACCTGCTGCCCTAACAGCGCGTTTTATGAAATCCTACAAATGGCGCGGTAAACGCCATCTGTAGTACAATGCTACATTTTACGGATCGCTATGTATTTAGGCGTAGCTCGCCACTACGTGATGCATAGTGATCCGTAAAATGTAGCATTGTGATACAGATGGCGTTTACCGCGCAATGTCATGATACAGTTCTTCTACGATTCTTACGTTGTCCCTCCCATATAAAATTAATTAATTAAATTAGAAGACGAATAACTAAAACAATGCAATCTATTGTCCGAACTCGGCAATCCTGCAACCGCCATACTGTTAAACACTAGACGAGTCCATTTTCCTATTGTCTAGCGTGTGTCGTACGTTGGGAAACGAGGGTCTATATGAAGCCTAACCTACATGTAACTGAGACTGCAAATAAATTACATTGAAAGGGTCGTTACTTCTCCTGTTTATAGTCTTGTTTTTATATTACGTATAAATATCTACAGATGGCGACATTTATACACTTTGCTTGCATTTAATAAGTTCTCCTTGGATGCATTCTTTTTAAATATTTGCAGTGCAATATCTATCATCTGCTTATATATTTCGTTTATAATCATATTTTAGGGTGATTCTGGAGGGCCATTGACTGTGAGTGGCGTACTTTTTGGATTGGTTTCAAACGGTATAGGTTGCGCTGATGGCAGATATCCGGGTACCTACACCAATGTTTCAAGTTTGCGCTCCTACATCTCATCAATCACTGGGCTCTGATTCTGTGGGCTTCATACTGTACCATTAAATGTAAAAATCATTATAATCAATAAAAAACTACTATTGTTACAGTGTATACTTCTTTGAATGCACCTAAACCCATTCTAGTGATAAGTAAAAGGTGTCTAGAACGAGTAAGGGTTATTTGTATCTACGCTGTCCTTGTAACGACGCAGTTCGGAGGGGCCCGATAGGGATAAGATGTTTCACTACTTTTTGGTGATTTAATGATCATGGAAGTGTACCCGGGAAAAAATTGTGCTTTCTGCATACGCGCCGATTATCGCAATGGTGATCCGATGATCATAGCTCAACGATTATATCGTGCAAAATTCAATGTACGTAATGCACCGACGATACTATCAGAAAATCAATTCGAATGTTCGAGAATACCGGTTCGACTCCAAACAATTACAATCCAGGTTGTCCGCGTTCTGTTCAAACCCAACAAACGATTCGATTCCGTCTCAATCAGTTTGCCAACGCAATCAAGAACTAAACATTAAAAAATCGTCGTTTCAGAAGATTCTGAAGCAAGATTTACATCTTACAGTCTACAAAATTCAGTAAGTTCAAAAACTGAACGTTACCGATTATGCTCTCCAACTGAATTTTCTAAATGAAACTCTTCAACGCTTTCCAACGTTTGAAAACATTCTGTTCATAAATTGGGCCAAAGAAAATCCATGCCATAAACATAAACAGCTACTACATAGTCCAAAAGTTATTGTGTTAAAAGTCTGGTGAAGGCATCGTTGGACCTTCTTTGTTTGAAGACCGGCGAGGACGAACACACACGAACTGTGACCGGTATTGTGATATGTTAAGAAACTTTTTGGTTCCAAAACTGCACGGGTTTCGTGGTTCTAATGTGGAAAGATGATTTCAACCAGATGGGGCCACTTGCTACACCTCAAACCAATCGCTTGCGGTTGTGAATCAAGTTTTGTCGGAAAAAGTGATCTCAGAGTCGAGGCACCATCAACTGGCCTCCGAGAAGCCTTGATCTTACCCTTTCTGATTATTTTTAATGGGGATATCTTGATGATGATCATCAGTTACGACTCAGCACCTGCCCAGTCACCACTGAAGATGCCGTCAGAAAAGAACGTCGAAATGTTTGGAAAAGTAAAATTCCACGGACCACGACAAAAAACCCCGGAAGAAAAAACACCGCACTAACACAGATATTGTGTTCGCTGATAATACAATTATAGTACATAATTAATGCAGATTGATGGGAGGCTGAATAATATAATTACTCGAGAGCTTTAAATTCGAGATGGTGTTGATATGTCAACGAAATTGTGTCGTAAATGTAAGAATAGGTATACTAGTACCTATATATACCATTGCTTAGCATTCGGGAGGACGCCGGTACGATTCCGGGTCCGTCTGCCTTGGTTCAAGTTTTTCTGTGGTTTCCTTGGATCACACAGGCAAAAGCTGAGGCAGTAATATTCCAAAGATAATCTTTCATTCTCTTCTGTTTTCATTTCGTCCGTCTCATCTTTCTCACCCGAACCACCACCCACCCATTCCCACGATTCCTGAAAGCAGGCTGAAGAGGGCCTTCCGCCCTAGCTTCCGGCATAGTCCGGAGAGACTGCCCGCCCACCAGCATTACTGGCTGGTGGGAATGAAACATCCAAAATTTTTTTTAGTTTTTTATATCAGTATAGTTATGCGGTTTCTACTGTAGTGAACTATACGTGGACGATAACTGTATAGCGGTAGGGTTGTGCTGGAAGAAGGATGAGTCAGAGTTCAGTTTTGAGCTAGCTGTGCGAGCGTTAGGAAGTGTGTGCCGTAGTGTGGTTCCTTTTACAGTTAAATAGCCATTAATAAATAAATACTTCTAAAATAACATACTTAAGTTTACTTATAAAAGCCCACAGCCATCCCTCACGTTAAGGGTGTGTATATAGTCAAATTACGTAGTACATCTATTTAATTTCTAAACTTAATAAAATGTAGTAATATGTATACAGCGACACTTCCTGTTAATTATAATGATTTTCTATAATTGATTTTTAGAAAAATTGTTTACAATTAAATATTATAAAAAAAATATTTAACATTGAATTTGACTACTGCTTTTGTAATCGGAAGTAAATCTGGCAACACTGCAGGTCGCGTGTGGCGTCCGGACTCTTTAAAAGTTGTATATTTGAGTTTATAACCCTCAAATTTTGACAGTCATGGATACTACCGGCAGTACCGGTGATGCTCATAAAAATGAAGAGCACGTTATTATCGACATGCTGCTGTGCGATGTTGTCACATATTCATATTGCAAATGGCGCCCTAGCATCTACACCGGTAGTGAGTTCAGATCAAATACTCTTATGAACTTTAAAACAAAATATCTGTTTGCAATTGCCCGTAACCCTACTTGTTTTTGGGCCAGAAAAATCGCAAATTGTCTAAACTTACTAATAATAAGTTTTTTAGTCGTACAAGTTTTATAGATAAACATAAATTTTAAGATTCTTTTAAAAATTATTCCACTTCCGGTAAAAATAACATTGAGTGAATGGTGACTTTAAAATGAATTATTTCGCTTAAATCATCCGTAAGGTACCTATTTTTTGATCTTAATCGATGCAGAATTATTTACTCTATAAAATATATCAAATTCAAACAGCTACTTATCTAAAAATTCATAAATGTTATACACATCCTTAATATCAAAAAGGTATTAAAACTCGTACAACAATGATAAAGAAACGTAAATTAAACATGTTGTTAATTTATAGTAGAATGAAGATTCGGGCTATAGGGCCGTGGACTAAGTGAACTATTGTGTCCAGACGTTTCGTCAGCTACTGCGGCTGACATCCTCAGTGGTGGTGCTGCGTTGACAACGTGAACGTAGATTATATCTCGAAGTCTCGACAGCAACTGGTCCTCAGTAGCTGACGAAACGTCTGGACACAATAGTTCACTTAGACCACGGCCCTGCAGCCCGAATCTTCATTCTACTATGGATTCCGGCCGTGAAAGCCTTTGTTCTTATGATGTTGTTAATCTGTTGAAGAACTTAACAAAAATAATCACCGTCCGATTTATTGGGCATATTGCAAGTAAAACTAAAATACTGGTATGCAAGGGAAGAAAACGTAAGGAAAGAGCGAATATAAAGATAGGAGACGAAAAATTAGAAGAAGTGGCTGATTTTATATACCTAGGAAGTCAGATAAGTGAGGATGGAAGGAGTAGTAGGGATATAAAGCAGCGGATAGCGCAGGGTCGTGTCGCCTTTAATAAAAAGAAGTCACTTCTATGCTCGCGAACAGTTAATTTACAAATTCGAAAAAGGTTGTTAAAGGTGTATGTTTGGAGCATGGCGTTGTACGGATGCGAAACATGAACAGTGGGAGCGGCGGAAGAGAAAAGGTTAGAAGCGTTCGAAATGTGGTGTTATAGACGGATGATGAGGATATCGTGGGTAGAAGAGGTTAGAAATGAAGAGGTATTGGAAAGAATAGGAGAACAGAGGACTCTATGGAAGACAATAAAAAATAGGCGAGATTAGGCTGGTAGGACACCTTCTCAGCCATGAAGGTTTAGTCAGAGACATATTAGAGGCAGAAATAAGAGTTAGGAGGGGTAGAGGTAGACCTAGATTAGATTACTGTTCGCAAATAGTTAAGGATGTGGGATGTTCTAGTTTTAGGGAAATGCGAAGTTTAGCTCAGGATAGGAAAAAGTGGAGATACGTGTCCAACCAGTCTTAGGACTGATGACTTTATGATAATGATGATGATTGCAACGTAGAGACTTAAGGACTTCGCGTAGTATATGTATTATATTTATAGGACGATCAAAATTGGCAAATAAATTATCTGTGAGAATGGACGTATCGTATCTTTTTTTTGTCTCCACTTGGAACTGTTGTGATTTGCTGCGTTTCTAACACGCCCTTGTTCAATTAGGAAATGCTTAATGAGTAGTACAGACAAAGTGAAAAGAGACAGCCGAATAACAGTAAGCGGTGCAGCGGTTAGAGGCTGCTTAGGTACGCAAAAAATCAGGATCGGCTTTATAATTGCCTGGTTGGAATTATATCCTTAACCAAGCATCTTTGCATTCCTAAATGAACTTTCTTTAAAGTCCGATGCTGACAGCGTGCACAAATTCTGCTTGTCTGTATCTCTTTCTGTTGCACATCAATTGGTGTTATGTTATTCCTTTTTCTTTATTTGTGTCCGCTGCAATTCCTACCTGGCATCTCTTTTCTTTGTGTAATACGATAAAGATCATTACGTTTGTCTGTTCTCTATTGCATAGTACCTTCCGCTGTTTTAGAAGGTAGTACTTTCTTTTAAAGGTACTGCAGAATCTGGTGTCCTTTTCCTTAAGAGGTTTTAGCAGTAAAAACATCAGAAGAAAAACAAAAGGAGTTACTTTAGTTTCAGGTAACCCTTTTTTAAAATGGTTCTTCTGTTCTCTTCTGTTTACTTTACTAGTTTATAAAAAAGAAAGCATACAAAGGGAGAAGATTATTTAGTCAATTAGTGGAATTATTAAGTTTGCAAATCTGGATCGTATATTTTAAAGGAAACACCAAAATCCGCTGCCAGAAAATGAAACTATTCAAGTTTGGAGTAACTACCATTTTAAGAAGTTACAAAAAATTCTGACACGCGCTCTCGTCAACTCGGTTGGTATTTTCCGATTGTAACAATAAGCTACCTACTCGTTAGATTAAAATTAAATGAACACTTAGTAAACACTAAAAAAACGGAGATAATATGACTACCGTAAACAATTTTTATCGTCAACTGGAATTACAATAATTCAATTTTCAGAATCAATAATATGAAGTACTTAATCTGATATCCTCGTGTTGTGCGTGGCAGATACTCTAAAATCATGATAATTTCTGTAAATGAATGAATTGAAAAAGGATGAATGATAAGAGAGAGTGAGAGAGAGAAACAGAAACAAAATAATTGAAACATTACGTGCGAATGCATAATATTTTGGTATCTCCTTATGCGATGAATTAACCTCCTTACGGCTTAGAGGAGGCTTTGCAGAAGGAAAGTATTCATTAGGCATCACGAATAGTTGTATTTTGATGAATACAAGGTATTTACTAAATTTTTTGGAAGCGGTGCAAGTACTAATCTACTTCAAGTAACGTAAGTATCGATGAGGTCTCAGGATGCAGCGAACAAAGTCATTCCAGCGATCAAGACCAATCTTAATATATTTGCAAAGTTCTCAACTGAACGTAATGGTAATTGGGTCTGAAAATTTGATGTTAAAGAAACCGAATGAGCGTTTGTTATAAACGTCACCAAGTCTATCATGGAGCAGATTTTGATGCGTGATCTGAAATTTCATCTCCTTAAAATCCAGACTATAATGGAAAATTACTACATTTTCCGAAAATGGTTTTGTCAGACAGTCATTAAGCACGCATTTTCAATATTGTGTGTTGGAGTGATAAACCTCATTTTCATAGATAACACTAGTATCACTAGAATATGCTGTTATGGTTGTAATGGGCCAAATAGATTTTTATACGGTCATTCTATAGTATACTTCGTTTAGTTTCTGTAGCGATGTGACCTTCAGTTTGACCGGTGCAAAATAGAAAAGAACAGCACTAGGCCAGAAAAGGAAGGAGACAACTCTCGGCCAAACTCCTAAAAGGTGAGGAGCGTATAATCCATACAGTACTGCACGGAAAAATTGACCATTTTATCCACTACAATTGCATTGCTCAAATGTGCTGTTATTGATACCATTTAGTACTGAAAATATCAACGAGATGTTTATTTATATTTGAAGACATATTAAAGGCTTTAACGCTTGTTTTCGACTCCCACTACTATTCATGATTGAATAAAACTTTTGGCAGGTACTGTATAAAAAAGTATGTTTAATGAACAAGAGTCGAGAGTATAATGCGCTTTTTTTCTCCCTATCTATTATTTTGCCATAGCACATCCAAGACATTGGAAGGGGCACATCGCTAGAGAAAGTAAATGAAGTATAGTAGGGTAGCACGCGGTTATATTGGCTGTACAGAAGAGGGCACGTTGAACGAGAATCATTAATCGATACCACGAGACCTGTGTCCAACAGTTAGCTAACATCTTAGCGTCTAAGGGTGTGTATCTGTGGATCCATCTACTATTATATTAAGTATTACATTACATGTGAAGTGTGGAAATATATGTATTTTCTCCACCCTGACAACCATCGCATTCGGACAGGGGTTTGAAGATTGTAATACACTACTGAGTAGAGGCATATCAATTTCGTTTCATTTTATTTGTTTACTTTTGTTTTAAACTGACCTAGATTTCTGTTTTCGTTGATATTGTCTTTGATTGGATGTTTTTTATTGTAAAACATTTGTATTTCTTTGATAACGTAGTCGAAGATGGATTTTCATTTTCGTTATAAATGAATTTACGACCTAGAGCTGCTAGGTTCGTTAAATGGGATTAGGTGCGCATTCAAATAAGTATAAAATGTAATAAATCTAACATTTATTGATACTAATGAACTACAAACTACACAAAAATATGTTATGAAACCCATACACTTAAAGCCCTGTAACGGATTTGATATAGGAACGTACGCTTGAAACATTGGTGTAAGTTCCCGGATATCTGGGGTCAGCACAGCCCGTACCGGAAGAAACCAATCCATAAAGAACACCACGCACTGTCAGTGGCCCTCCAGAGTCACCCTAAAATGGAACAAGTTTCTGACTTACAACACAAAATTAGTACTATAAAAAAAACAAATCGTTAGGATGTTCAAATATTTGACTTAAAATTAGAATAAGGTTTTACTTTAACTTTTTTAATTCGCAACCCTACTTTTCATGGAAATGTCTACTTTTCTACTTACATTACAAGCGTCTTTTCCTCCTTGATCGTAACCGGCACATAAATTTCTATCAAAAACCCAGGTTTCGTTGCTGCCGGCGTAACGACGAGCGCATTCCTGATTGGTAATAATGGGCACCGTTACTGTCTGCAATTGTGTTGGAGCGTTACCTAGATAGGCTAAACTACCCCAACCAGCAATGGTTGCTATGGTTCCAGCAGGTAAAACGACGTTGGCTGGTGGTAAAGCAATTGCAGCAACTCTTCTTCCAAATGTAAGACTTTTATTCAGACGGAGAATACTTATGTCATAGTCTACCGTTGTAGCGTTGTACAAGGGATGAATGTATATCCGTGCTAGAGTAATTGGTGTCCTTGCCGTTTGATTAGTCTCACTTGCACCAACTCGTAAAGTAACGTTATGTATACTTTGCCTACATCAACAACAAAATAATTGGTATTCAAGTTTTCATACCGATTCTGATTAACTGAGAAACTGTGCAGGATCTGGTTTCGAAATAGATGCATGACAATAAATCAATGAATGTTCGAAACGTTTATGCTAATCTCTTTTTAGAAATAAATAAATTGCCCTGGTTATAGCTGGAATGATCAAAATTTGGTAAAGCCTGTGAGAAAGCACGTATGTTGTATTTATTTCTAGTTTCCACTTGGAACTGTAGTCATTTGCTGCGTTTTGAACATGCCCTTGTTAAGTTAGGAAATGCTTCATGAGGAGTACAGACAAAGTGAATAGAGATAACCGAATAATAGTAAGCTCTGCAGCGGTTAGAGGTTGCTTAGGTGTGTAAAAAATCAGTGTCGGTTTTATAACTGCCTGGTAGGAATTACATTGTAGCGAGCACGAGTGTGTTTATGTGCGATCGGGCACACGTGTGCGTGAACGGCTTATCGATTCGCCGATTAGCGGCGGGCGCCTTTCTTCATGTGCGCCGTATTTGTAAATGTGTGTGTCGTACCTACATTCTAGGAAAACAGTTAAATAGTTCAAAGAAAAAATAAACTATCCGGATGTTTTCAGAAGATTCCCGAAATTAAACAAAAAAGGAAAATGCGACAGTTTTATTTCAGGCCATGAGGATTTTCAACGTCCCAACCATAGCATTTTTTGGTGAACCTACACAATATCTTTTAGTCAATCTTATATATCCCACAATTTTTTTCTGTCACAGCATCATCGCCGTCTATCGAAAATTTCACATTGGGTTAGTACCTATAAGTTGTTAAATTTTTCCATGAAAGGGCCAACCATGTGACGTGACTTAGAGCAACGATTGACGACTGGCAGACTACGATCCAGGTCCGGACCGTGGAAGATCAATAACTAGACCACCCAATTTTTTTTTCCCCAAATAAGCTATTTAAAAAATATTCTTCTGCAGATAACAGAGTATGTTTGAGCGCCACCCTTATCATTTTTGGAAGAAGGAATATATTCCCTCTGCATATCGACAAAAATTTTCAAAAGCATTCGGACCCCACCTAAAATTATTTATCGACCCCTGACCTAAAAATGTAGCTTAACTTAGTAGTCGAGAGGGTATCGGTCCGATTCCGAGTACATTTATCCTGGTCCAAACTTTTCTGGGGTTGTTTGGAATGTTTAGGCAAACGGTCGACCAGTAATAATAATTTATTTATTTGTTTATTTAGTTGACTCTCATGGTAATCCAAAAGTAGGTACAAAATGATAATCATCATCATAAAGTCGTCAACTGATGATAATACGTAGATAATTTTTCACGTTTCTTTTGTCGTCCGTCTCATCTTTCCCATGTCAATCACCATCCATCTTTTCCCACGATTCCTAAAAGGAGACTTTGGGGGGTAAGGCAGTAGGCACGCCCTATCCCCCCATACTGCCCGTCCACCATTATTACTAGCTGGTGGGAATGAAACACCCAAAAGCTCATGCAAGAATCGATTTCAGGTTAATAGAGCTGACATTAGATGTGGCTCTTGGCCCAAACATCTGTCAGCAGCGGAAAGTTTCAAGAGCGATTAGATGTATCAGAATTTTCTTTTAGAAATTGTGGGAACTTGAACCCAATGAGACGGACAAAGTAACGATCAAAACAAAGGAAAGTTTCATAACTGAAACATTATTGCAGCAGTATTCGTCTAAAAGAAAATCACACAAAAACATGGACCAAGGAAGTGAGATCCGTGATCGAAATCATGTCCTCCCGAAATAACACACTTTGAAGAAGTGGACATGCGTCTAGGACAGTGAATCACGCGATTCCAAATAATAACACCATACCAACACAAAATTATTAAGATTCGTTTTTCAGTAATAATTCAACAAAAATAAAAAATGAACAAATTTTTGCATTTTTCTTTTATTTGTGTTATGAGATTTTCAGACGCGCCAATATCTAGTTTCTAATTCAACGAAAAATGGGTTCTAATAATAATAATCAGTCCGTGGGCCCCGTTTTTATTAAAAGGTATAAACATTATTGTCCGTTTGTGTCAAGGTGCTCTCATTATTTTGTCATTTACTTACTGATAAGTGCAATGTCCTGCTGTGAGGACCCAAATTGGTGAAATAATGCAAGATCCACACCAAAATGAACTTGCACGATATAATTGTGCAATGTACGGAAAATGTTCTATAGTAGTTGTATTTCCACCAACGATCCTCTCTTCGTCTTCAGGAACATCAGATTGGCTGGGCAAAGCCCAAGTTCCTAACAATTACATCGCTTAACTAAATTTAAATTCAAACAAACCATATATATCTAATACTTACCCAGAAAAAGGGAAACTGAGCTTATGAACAAAAAAACCTTCATAATAAATTATGTGCAACTAAGATGAATTAAATGGACATGAATTTTATTTTGTTGCTTATAGTATTTGTACACCGGTACATATGCCAGTACCAACAACCGAGCTGACGTTTATCATGTAGCGATTGACACACGTGGAGATGTGTAGGTAGATAAATTTTATCGTTCCAAAAAAAAAAAGAAGCACTGAACTCGTGAATGACTGAGATCATAAACAGGAGGCAAACGAAAAACAGAAACGAAGTGGTTCAACCATTCAGCATCGCAATTTTCAAAAATTATTCATATTAATTTTATAGAACAAACAGAATAGCTCAAAACCCCAACGCCAAAACACGACACTGTAGTTGTCCGAAGCACTTTTCGGTAACAAAGTTACCTTCTTCAGGGACTGAAGTAAACTCATAAGTAAAAGTAAACTATAAATAAAATAATTCGAAGTGGTCTGTATTCTGTCGAAACTGCCAGACGCGAATCGCGATTTCGATCTTTTTGGATCTCATCAGTGCGTCGCAGGCAGCCCCGACAGAACACAGACCAACTTTTACCTGCTGTCTTTACAGCGCGTTTTAGAAAATACCACAAATGGCGCGGTAAACGCCATCTGTAGTACGATGCTACATTTTAGGATTACGTATGCTCCAACAAGGTCCATTTTTAATTTTATATTGATCGGTGATAGACGATCTCTCTTTCTTTACATCTCGAAACCTAAGCCTGACGATTAATTAGTATATAGATAACAAAATGAGACACACATTGATTGAGTGGTTTTCGCAATCTCAATAGTTCTTCAAAGTGACTTTTATTAAATACTAGCTCTCCACGCGGCTTCGCTCGCAGAAATTAATATTGTTTCTCCATAAAACCTTTTAACTCCCAATTCACCCTTACAACGTTTTAATTTTATGTAATATCGCTATCTTAGATTTCAAATACAAACGTAGCAACAACATTTCGTCGTTAAGGGTTGATTTTTAAAAATTGCCAAAACACGTTTGCTTAATTTCAACAATGAGCAACCTTCTAGTAAATCCGAGTATAAATGAAATATACCCGATGGAAACGTTGCAACCTCTTTTCAATTGAGTAATAATATCAAACAGCATATATACCAAGTTTCAAGTAAATTCAACCACAAATAAAGTATGTCCCAAACAAAAATTGCAACACCTTTTTACCCCCCTTCCCTTTGGAGGTTGAATTTTTTAAAATGTCGAGATAGGTCTTCCACAAATTAAATGAGAGACCATTAAGACCAAGTTTCAAGTAAATCTGACCACAAATAATGTATGTTCCATTTAAACATTGCAACTCCTCTTCACCACTCATCCCCCCCATAGAGATTGAATTTTTTAACCATTTTCAAGTAAATCGGACCAAAAACAAACATGTAATCTTTGCAAACCCCTTTCAGCTTCCTAAAGAGGTAGAATTTTGTAAAATGTTGAAATAGGTATGTATGTCACTAATTTTATATTTTAAAACATTAAAGCCAAATTTCAGGTAAATCTGACTATAAATAAAACAACAAACTTAACCATAGACAACACTATGTTTATCTGTCAGTTGCGTTCTGTTATACCACCTTGTTTTTTTTTCGGGAACGGGAATCGTACGTCCGTTTCCTGGTTCTAAGCTACCTCCCCACCAATTTTCAGCCAAATCGGGTCAGCCGTTCTAGAGTTATGAATAGTGCAGCTGAAACGACTTTCTTTTATATATACAGATTTTCACCAGATGGCAGACTAATCGAATCTAACCCGTCAGCTTCCTCCCTTTCTCTTCCAGCATGCAGTAAGTAAGAGGGGGAGAGCTATCGACTAACACATTCGATTTTTGGCTAACACTGCCAGACATAGGAAAATTTTCCGGCCAGCTTAGGAAATAGGGGATTTTTAATTGTTAATTCATAATATAATTTAATTTAATTCAAGTTTTGTGTCAAATGAATTTTTGGAGTTTAAAGGATAATTAAACAGTTTTTGCGCGAAATGATTTTTTTTTGTTTCAACATCTCTTTTTCCGGGGAAATATAATAAAAAATTAGGATATATAAACGAATTCATTTTGCATCACTGAATGTTACTGGTTAGCTTCTTTCCTCCGTAATGTGTGATACGGAACTTGGTTCCAAAATAAACCACTAAAACTGCGAATCATTAAAATCACTAAATATGAAGGTGAATGAGGAGCAAAAACGAAGTGTTCCAATCACAACAGCATCGCAATTTTCCAGAATTATTTACAGTAATTTTATGATCATCACTGCTAGACGATCTCTTTCCATACAAATTTCTCTAAATACTTGTAAACAGCTAAAGCTAAATTACATTAGTTTTATTTTAATCAGTTCTAATCGATCTCTCACTCTTTACATCTCGAATTCCAAAACAAGATATATTGGAAGATGATTGATTATTGTTCGGAGAAATAGTACTGAAAGATGCCAAAATTTAATTAATAAACGGTTGTTGCGTTTTATATAAAATTAAAGTTCAAGCAACCGCAATATATTCAAGAAGATAGTACGTTTTCATCGCCTCGTGCCTGTCAATGATTATTGATAAAACGTTCGTTTAAGGTATAAATACTACAAGTAACAACAAAATAACGATTACTATGATTGATTTGTTGGTAATTATACATAATTATGAAGGGCTTCCTGTTCATAACATTAATTCACCTTATTCTGAGTAAGTGTTATTAATATATCGAAATGTTCGTGGGTTTAACAAAATTACTTCTAAGACTGATAACGACAAAAACTATTTATTTACACTAATTATTGAAGAACTTAAAAACACTATTAAATTATTACTAAACTTAGGTTATGAATTATTCTATTTATTTACACTACTGTTGATATATCACTATTCACTGCGGTATTTATTTCTGGATTCACTTCTGCAACGGTCAATTTATTTCTATTTATTTCGGCGATCGTCTCTCCCTTTAAACACTCTTTTGTTTACCTTCTTGAACCTTCTGGATACATCCGGATTAGTTTATTTTTTCTTTGAACTGTTTAACTGCTTTCTCAGAACGTAGCTACGACACACACATTTACCAATACGGCGCACATGAAGAAAGGTGCCCGCGGCTAGTCGGCGAATCGATAAGCCGTTCACGCACACGTGTTTCCGATCGCACACAAAAACACTCTCGTGCTCGCTAAAATATATTTGAGCCTCTTGTTTGTATTCCAATTTAGTTAAATGATGTAATTGTTAGGAATCTGGGCCATACCTAGACAATTTGATAACGGTAAAAATGAAGAGAGAATTGTCGGTGGAAACACAACCACTGTAGAACGTTTTCCGTATATTGTTCAACTGTATCATGCAAATAGACGATGGGGTGGGGCCAGCATTCTTTCACCGTGTTGGGTCATCACTGCAGGACATTGTACTTATGGGTAAGTTAAGGACAAAACAATTATAGCACATTGACACAAAGGGACAATAATGATTAATTGATGCAATACATCTTTATAGTTCTGTACCTCGTAATGAGAAAACGGTCCACTGATTCATTATTAGAAACTATAGTTCATTTCTTATTGAACTTGAAAATTATGGCGGGCATTAAGTACAAACAAATAAAAGATTTATAGACTTCGCATATTATGCAAGCAGAATTGAATATATCAGACATACCAGCTACTGGAATTCTAAACTGTCTAAAAACTGATCTACACTGTTTGAAGTGGTCTAATAGGTACTATAAGCATAATATTTGTATCTCCAGTTCTGATTAGTGGATATGTTACCGGAAATGTATGAAATCTAGGAATTGTATACCATTTCCAGGAAATGTATACAATAACGAGGCTATTTAGGAAATCTATAAAATATTGTATCAAAGATTTTTTAATACACACATTTTCTGAGAAATGTACCTATACATTTCTTAGGAATTGTATAAAATTCCGATATTGTACTAGGAAATGCATAAAAACCAACGCTTTCTGTGAATAAAATGAAAAAACACGTTAGTATACTTCGTTTAGTTTCTTCAGCGATGTGACCTTCAGTTTGACCGGTGCAAAGTAGAAAAGAACAGCACTAGGCCAGAAAAGAGAGGAGACAACTCTCGGCCAAACTCTCAACCGGTAAGGAGCTTATAATCGGTACAGTACTGCACGGAAAAATTGACCATTTTATCCACTACAATTGCATTGCTCAAATGTGCTGTTGTTGGTACCAATTACTACTGAAAATATCAACGAGATGTTTATTTATATTTGAAGACATATTAAAAGCTTTAACGGTTCTTTTCGACTCGCACTGCTATTCATGATTGAACAAAACTTTTCGCAGGTACTGTATGAAAAAGTATGTTTAATGAACAAGGGTCGAGAGTATAATNAAGTCATTCCAGCGATCAAGACCAATCTTAATATATTTGCAAAGTTCTCAACTGAACGTAATGGTAATTGGGTCTGAAAATTTGATGTTAAAGAAACCGAATGAGCGTTTGTTATAAACGTCACCAAGTCTATCATGGAGCAGATTTTGATGCGTGATCTGAAATTTCATCTCCTTAAAATCCAGACTATAATGGAAAATTACTACATTTTCCGAAAATGGTTTTGTCAGACAGTCATTAAGCACGCATTTTCAATATTGTGTGTTGGAGTGATAAACCTCATTTTCATAGATAACACTAGTATCACTAGAATATGCTGTTATGGTTGTAATGGGCCAAATAGATTTTTATACGGTCATTCTATAGTATACTTCGTTTAGTTTCTGTAGCGATGTGACCTTCAGTTTGACCGGTGCAAAATAGAAAAGAACAGCACTAGGCCAGAAAAGGAAGGAGACAACTCTCGGCCAAACTCCTAAAAGGTGAGGAGCGTATAATCCATCTGTTGTTGGTACCAATTACTACTGAAAATATCAACGAGATGTTTATTTATATTTGAAGACATATTAAAAGCTTTAACGGTTCTTTTCGACTCGCACTGCTATTCATGATTGAACAAAACTTTTCGCAGGTACTGTATGAAAAAGTATGTTTAATGAACAAGGGTCGAGAGTATAATGAGATTTTTTCTCCCTACCTACGATTTTGCCAGCGCGCATTCAAGACATTGGAAGGTACACATCGCTAGAGAAAGTAAATGAAGTATAGTAGGGTAGCACGCGGTTATATTGGCTGTACAGGAGAGTGCACGTTGAACGAGAATCATCAATCGATACCACGAGACCTGTGTCTAACAGTTAGCTGACATCTTAGCGTCTAAGGGTGTGTATATGTGGAATCATCTACTATTATAATAAGTATTCATTACACGTGAAGTGTGGAACATATCAGGGGCATTAAAGAAACTCCAGTCTGTCATAAAACTCCCTAACAAAACAATGACGTCACCAATGGATATAGGTACAACAGCCTTATTACTTGTTTAGTGTTACCTTTAATACATTTCCGATTTGCTTTCCTGGAAATTGTGAACAATGACGGCTTTCATACATTTCCTGTAGTAGAAATATCAGAAAAAAAACAAACATGGGTCAAATAAAATAGAATTTTGTTGGTATGATGATGTGAAACTACCAAACTAAAATAGTTTCAAACAGTTGAAATTTCTGCATATGGATTACTGTATTATTTTATTTATGCTAAATATGCGTTTTCGAAAATACCACAAATGGCGCAGGAAACGCCATCTGTAGTACGATGCTACATCGATTTTATTCGATTATGGTAACGTGCCATTCACGTTGAAGTTAGCTACGCCGGGATTCGTTTCAGCAAGTAGATATCCACACAAGTGGACCTTGTTGGAGCATACGTAATCCTAAAATGTAGCATCGTGCTTACAGATGGCGTTTATTGTTCCATTTGTGGTATTTTCTAAAACACATTGTTAAGACAGCAGGTAAAAGTTAGTCTGTATTCTGTCGGAGCTGTCTGCGACGCGCTGAGGAGATCCAAAAAAATCGAAATCGCGATCCGCGTCTGGAGTGTCGACAGAATACAGACCACGAATTATTTTATGCTAAATATGTTTATATTTATGCAGGGAAGATATAAGCAACATTACATTACGTGCCGGTGCTTCTGAGTCTAATCAAACAGCAAGGACGCCAATTACTCTAGCAGAGATATTCCTTCATCCTCTGTACAATGACACAACGCTAGACTACGATATAAGCATTCTCCGCCTGAATGAAGATCTTGTTTTTGGAACAACAATTAGCCCGGTTTCTTTACCACCGCCCGACATTGTTTTACCTGCTGGAACTTGGGCTACCGTTGCGGGTTGGGGTGATCTAGCAGATGGAGGTCCCGGTTCAACTCAATTGCAGGCCGTGACTGTGCCAATTATTTCCAACGAAGAGTGTATCCGTCTTTACGCTATTAACGACACCGGCGTCATTATTACTGATAGATTGCTATGTGCTCTTTATGCACCAGGAGGAAGAGACGCTTGTAATGTAAGTAGATTCATATCCATGTAAAGGAAGAAAGTCAATAATTGAATCCAAGCATACATAAGTGTTAATTGTTCCTTAATCGTTTTTCTCGGGATACCTATTACTAAACAAAATGGTCATAGGGGGCGTTCAAATATTACGAAACGCAATTTGGGGGGAGGGGGGTCTCGTAAAACGTTACGGTGCGTTACAACACATTATGCAACGTTGTTTCTTTTTTTAAATAAAAAATTAATTAAAACCAGCAAGTTGGCAATCCTTTTCGTTTACGTATTACGGGGAATCCCTCGATTGTATTGTACGTCATTTAATGTTGTTTTCGTTGTCAGTATTCGTTAGTGCAGAGGCTCTAGTCGGTGTTATTAGAGTGAGTTCATAGTGTTCATACTGTAATGTCCTCAAAAGAGGGAAATTTGTATCATCCAGCTGTTCTTGGCCTATAAAGGCTCTCATGGTGACTTGCCAGCGCACTGTGTCAAAAAAATGCGAACGAAATTTGGAAAACGGTTAAAGAAAAACTGAAAAATAAAGAAAAGTTTATAGAACATATAAATGAAGTTATACGATTTGCGCAACATAACTTTTGCGACTTTTGGGTAAAAATGGTCACTTGAGTGTTTAGAGAAGGGGAGGGATGTTACAGAAAAGGTTACGGCGCGTTACAAGGGTGGGAGGGAGGGTCAAAAATCTTCAGAAATTACGTTAGGGAATACTTTGACGCTCCCATACTTGGTGGGTAGTATTTTGTTGTAAGTGCCAGACATGGACTGAGATTTCGATTTTTAGTTGGATCTAATTGGCATGCTGTAGGCAAGTAAGGCAGAACACGGATTCATCAAACGCTGCTTAGTGACAGCAAGTTGGTTAGTCTTTATTCCCTCGGAACTTGTTTCTGGTGTGCTAATGAGATCCAGCGAGATCAAAATCACGATCCGCTTTTTTTAGGTTGGATAGATTGGACACCAAGAAGTTTTTGTTTAGACTAGAAAATGACCTTCTCGAGCATTATTAAAATTCAGAAAATACTACAAACGGCACAGTGAACGCCATCTGTAGCACGATGCTACATTTTAGGTTTACGTATTTTTACAGACCACTTCGAATTATTTTATTCGATTAAGCTAACGTGCCTATCACGTTCAGTTTGGCTACAGGATTCGTTTTCAGCAAGTAGATATCCACACAAGTGGACCTTGTTGAAAAATACGTAATCCTAAAATGTAGCATCGTGCTACAGATGGCGTTCACAGTGCCGTTTGTAGTATTTTCTGAAACGCACTGTTAAGACAGCAGGTAAAAGTTGGTCTGTGTTCTGTCGGAGCTGCCTGCGACGCGCTGATGAGATCCAAAAAGATCGAAATCGCGATCCGCGTCTGGCAGTTTCGACAGAATACAGACCACTTCGAATTATTTTATTCGATTAAGCTAACGTGCCTATCACGTTGAGGTTGGCTACGCCAGGATTCGTTTTCAGCAAGTAGATATCCACACAAGTGGACCTTGTTGAAAAATACGTAATCCTAAAATGTAGCATCGTGCTACAGATGGCGTTCACTGTGCCGTTTGTAGTATTTTCTGAAACGCACTGTTAAGACAGCAGGTAAAAGTTGGTCTGTGTTCTATCAGAGCTGCCTGCGACGCGCTGATGAGATCCAAAAAGATCGAAATCGCGACCCGCGTCTGGCAGTTTCGACAGAATACAGACCACTTCGAATTATTTTATTATTAAAATTTACAATAAGTAGCAATTTTCACACGCATTGTACTTATTTATGCGTTTCAGGTACGTTATAATTTCACAAGATCTAACAAGTTTTGGATAAATTCGTGTTAACTTATAGTCAAATATATATTTTCCTTTAGGGTGATTCTGGAGGACCATTGACGGTGAACGGTGTACTTTATGGATTGGTTTCTGACGGCTTAGGTTGCGCTGATCCCAGATATCCAGGAACCTACACCAGTGTCTCAAATTTACGCTCCTTTATCGAAGAAGTTACGGGGCTGTGATTGTATGGATCTCTTGACGTACCTTTTCTATTTGTAAATGTTTATTATAAGTTATTGAAAGTTTTGGGTCAAGACTTTGAATAAATGCGGCTGTTGATGCTAGATAACACTGTAATTTATTAAAACAAATGTACACTCAAAAGATTATACAGTTCAGAATAATCCCAAATTACCTGAGTCAACAACAGATACCACACTATGCTATTACAAAGTTTCAATGGTCTGAGCTATGCCAGTGATTGTGTGAGCTGTACGTAGCGCAACTTTCAATGATCACGGCAACACTCGTAGCACCATCTAGCGTGTTGATAACCTGGCTTAGTCCAGACTTACATTGTTAATAAAAAACTATTAATGTTACCGTTTATATTTATTTGAATACACCTAAGGTTACATTATTGCATATTTCGAATCATCTCTGTTCCTTAAGTGGACTGTACTACGATGAACTTCTTCGATGTACTTGATTTTTCAAAATTCAAACAGATGAAAATACAAATTCTCGTGGCGCGCTCTTAACTGCAACCACCGAAAGAGCTAATTTCGGTTTATCTGTTTCGTAGAATTAGGGAAAGACACCCAGCCGTCCGTATGATCGGTCAGTGTCGGATTCCCGAGGAATATGTCCTCGGACCTACCGACTGAAACCGATCTACCTCAGGACCTAAAAAATCAGGTCCTCTTCAACCGAACAAAATTAGAAAAATGCAAAAATGCGGACTTTGCCAATTTTGATGGTTCCATCTATAGCTGTTTTTGTATTAAAAATTGTGCCTGGAAAAATGATGAAATGCCTTCTCTGGGAATTATTACTGCAAGAGAGAGAGCCTAGAATTAGACATTCTCTATCCGCGGTATCCTCATTTGTCTGTAACACCACATTTCGAGCGGTTCTAATCTTTCATTTTCAGAAATATGTACACTTAAAATTCTGGAGATAAGAAATATAAAAATGATCAGAGTACGAGATGGAGCTATAGAGATTTATAAAATAAATGCCAGTGTTTCGGGGATGGGGTGGGGTCAGTTCGCGAAGCAGCCAGTGGTCCCTATGCCGATCGAAAAATTCCTTAATTTGTATTTTTTTATCAATATGAGGTTTGACAAATTGGTAAAGGCTTTCACGGCCAGTAGGTGAACTGATGCTGTTATGATTTGTGTCAAAAGGCCGTCATGTGTTGGAGTTGCTTCCTAGCGTTTTGCTAACCGAGTGACGAATTCGGAGGTCCTTCCATCTCCGATGCTGGAACTTCAGGAAGCAACTCCAACACACTAAGGCTCGTGGACCCGAATCAGAACAGCATTAGTTCATAGCAGACTTATTATTGAAGCACCTAGCGGCATGACCTAGAGGTTTAGACCTTGGTTAGTATTCGGGAGGACGTCGGTTCGATTCCGGGTTCGTCTGCATTGATCCAAGTTTAGATTTGGTTTCCTTGGATCACCTAGGCAAATGATAAGGCAGTAATATTCCACTGATAATCATTCATTCCCTTCTGTCTTCATATTGTCCGTTTGTCTTTCTCACCCAAATCACCATCTACCTATTCCTACGATTTCTAAAATGAGGCGGAAGAGGGTCTTCCGCCATACCTTCCAACGTAGTAGGGACTGTCCGCCCACCAGTATTGCTGTCTGATGGAGATGAAACAACCAAAAGTTTTTTTTTTATTGCAGCAAGCAAAAATTTTGATTTAAGGGCTGTTGCCTTCCAAATTGTTGACAGAAACTATTTGGCGGAGTAAAAATTTTCGATGATGGTCTTCATTGTTTGGTAGTTTGAAGTTGAATATTTTTGACGTGTTTGAATCGAAAAATTTCAGCTTAAGACTCTACATTCTCATCAACCATCAATAATTATTAAAAAATATACGTTGTACAAAATATAACTTAATTTTTTTATGAAATCATAATCAACATGCTGTATTATTCACCCATGGTAACAACTTCCACGCACCTTGGGACTCACTGTTGTTGATATGAAATTTTCATCTCCTCGCGCGTGTTAATAAAAAATATTGATAAAACGTTTCCTACCTACAGATATCAACACTATAAGTAAAAGCAAAATAACGATTATCATCATTGATTTGTTGGAAGTTATAACTATGAAGTCATTCTTGTTCATAATATCATTATACCTTATTCTGGGTAAGCGTTAGTAATATGTATCCTCTACCTTTTGTTTGTATTCCAATTAAGTTAAATGATGTAATTATTGTTAGGAATTTGGGCATTCCCTAGAAATTCTGATGACGATGAAAACGAAGATAGAATTGCTGGTGGAAACGCAACTACTGTAGAAAGTTTTCCGTATATTGTACAGCTATATCAGGAAGATACGCTTTTCTGTGGGGCATCCATTATTGCAAGAAGATGGGTTATCACTGCAGGACATTGTACTTCTGGGTAAGTTAATAAACAAAACAATTAAAGTACACACAAAGGGAATAATAATGAATAAAATTGATGCTTCCTGTTCTTATTCTAATGAGAAAACGGTCCGCTGACTCATTATTCGAAACTATATAATTAAACTACTACTTATTGTAGCTAAAAAGAATATACCAAAAATAGTTACCATTTATGTTTCAATTTGAATGTAGGCGTTACTTATAACACTGTGATTTGTGCGTTAATCAGAAAAATAAACAAACAGCCGCAAAATAAAGCAGAATTATGTAAAAATAATGATATGAACTTGCTACTGAAAAATAGTTTCAAACAGTTGAAATTTCTCAGTAAAGATTATTTTCCAGATGGTAATGGAAACGGGACCAGAGATTTCTACAGAAGGCTTCCGGTCGTCTTAAATGCAGGTTAGGTTATAGGACCTAACCTATATTGTGTCTTGTTGTGATTACGTACCCAAAAGAATCTCCAAATCAGTCTTTCGTCAGAAATTTCATTAAATTTTCTTAAAATGCCGAAAAGATATTTTTCATAATTCACTTTAAGTTTAAAACCGGATTGCTGTGATTATTCATTAGTAAACCGCTTTTTTTTTAATTAATGTCTAGTCGCTATTTCACTTACATTCCTCGTGCGCAGGTGTTTAAGATCCCTAAATCGTTTGCTCTATAATTGGAGTAATGCAAGTCAGGGTTGAAATTTTGACGGTCGCTATTCATGGATTCATCTTAAGTAGTTAAACTATATTGGCGAATGTCCCTTTTTTTTAGGAATTGTCACTAAAAAACTAGCCCAGATCGCAAACCGGCGTAACACATCGACATGATTCAATCGTCGAATATTTCTCCATTATGTGTTTATTTACCTAGGCACATTTACTTGTGATCTAGTACGATCGACGAACCCCCATCGAAAGTCAGATCTGTCGCTCGACGATTGAATTCCATATAATAATCGAACTAAGTAGTATGCTATCTATACTAATATCTGAAATATTATTCTGCAAATTCATTTTTTTTTTACCCACTACACGCTACCTCAAATTAATGAGGGAAAAATTGTTGCTGTTGTCACAACCCCCCGCCGGGAATCGAACCCGGAACCTTTGGCTTTACGCACCAATGTTCTGACTACTAAACTACGACAGGTGACAACAGCAACCACGACCAACCGACCTACAAGATTAACGATCCGTCAAACTAATGTAACTATAAGTATACTGAATATACTATGATTAAACATACATACAATTTAGACAACTTTTCGAACTGAGTTAGTTTAATATGAAATATTATTCTGAATTAATTTGAGGTAGCGTGTAATGGATAAAAAAATTCGAAAATGAATTTTCAGAATAATATTTCATATTAAACTAACTCATTTGAAAAAGATGTCTAAATTGTATGTATGAAAATTTAATCGTTTATTTCTTATCTTACGTGGAATTATTTTTGACAATTACGACATTTGATATATATCAGTTTCCAAAATTAAGGACATTTGAAGGGTGAAAGTTTCTTATTACTACTCAGATATGCAGGGTATTATCATGACAATTTTACGATTAAGTGCATTATTATCTAGTTATTATGTCAATCAAGTGCGCGCCTGCACTGATAAGCGGGTCCTGATTTGGTATTTTGATGAAACTTTGAAGCTAAAGAACTCGATAAGAATGCTTTTAATGGCAAAATTCAATCGATATTTTTTGTTTCGTAAAATTTATATATAACGTATCAGTTTTAAGGTTGTTTAAAGTTTAAAAAAGTTATAATGGTGTTTCGTGGAATTTGTTTTTTTTTTAATTTACTTAATATATTATTTTATCTCTACTCAATTAAACATAGATATCCGGTCAACATATTGTTGTTCATTAGTTAAATAATAAAATACTGTATCAATAATTATTTATTCCGATCCGACGGGACTTGAACCTTGGCGAAACTCTTGTACAAAATAGAGTGGGTGGTTCTGCTTGCGAGTTTCGATGATTTAGGGAGCCGGACCATAAGTTCAACCATAATGGGGGGGGGGGGGGGGGCTTTAAAGAGAAACCAGATTAAGTCCATGAAAGAGGGCAGCAGCTCTTTCAGTACTCAGAATGGTAGAAATCACGAGGATCGATATGGCACTCTGATACACTATACTGCGATGTGGAAGGCAACGGGAAACCACCAATGGTGGCGTACTCCTGACGTAAACTAGTCCCCTATTCGGATGTCTTAGCGGGTACTACTTCGGGGAATGTCACCAATAGGTGCAATAGGGTTAGGTGCAATATTTCACGAGTCGGAGCGTGGAATATTAGGACAATGAGGCAAGTAGGGAAATTAGAAAATTAAATGTAGAGTAGATTAGAATTAGATATAGTAGGTATTAGTGAAGTCTGTTGGCCCGAAGCTGGAGACTTCTGGAGTGGAAACTTTATAATAATACATACAGGATCGGTAGAAGGTAATTCAGGTGTAGGAATTGTAATGCGTAGGAAAGTAGGGCAGAGTGTAGAAAGTTATTTACAAAAAAGCGATAGGATAGTCATGGTTAAATTAAACTCAAAGCCGGTAAGAACGGTATTAGTGCAGGTCTCCATGCCTACATCATCTTACGGTGATGAAGACGTAGAAGCAGTTTATGCAGATATAAAAGACGTGTTAAGTTTGGTGAAAGAGCAGGAAAACCCAATAATTGCAGGAGACTTGAACGCAGAAATAGGTTAAGGTAAAGTGGATGCAATAGCAGATAGAATTTTGCAATTCGCAACATAACCGTCACGAATACTTTATTTAACCATCATGTTAGGAGGCGCTATACTTGGAGGATGCCAGGTGGTTTAGGGAGATATCAGTTAGATTACCTTTATAATTGTTAGGCAAATATTTCAAAATTAAGTGAAGGACTATAGAAGTTATCCAGGAGCAGATATAGATAACGATCATAACTTAGTAGTTATGAAGACTAATCTTAAATTGAAAATTCTGAAAAAGACGGAAGGTAGGAGACGTCTTGACTAGAAAAGCTAAAATGTAACGAAATGCGTGATAGGCTAGGTAAAAGGACAGACGAAATACTAAAGGAGGCTAGAGAAACGAATAACAGGGACATACAGACAGAACGGAACTGCATTAAAACGTGTCTAAAGTCAGCAGTTACAGAGGTACTACGTCTTAAACAAAACGAAACAAAACGAAAGTAGGAAACCCTGGATAACAAATGAGATTGTAGGATTAATAGAAGAAAGGCGGAAATACAAAAACAGGACAGACGAAGAAGGGCAAAAAAGATATAAAGCTATAAAGTGGGAAATAATTAGGAAGTGTAGGGCAGCTAAGGAACAGTGGATTGATAGGATGAGTAAAGAAGTAGAAGAAAAGTTTGAAGTAGGTAAAACCGATGAGGCTTATAATATAATTAAAAGGAATTTTGGAGATGTAGGATACAATAGTAATAATATAAGAATCGAGGGACCCCTGCCTCGTTTATATTTTGATAGAAAATGAGAAAAAGGCAGATAGGTGGAAAGAATATTTAGTGAACCTATTCGCACGCCATGAAGTAGGAGATATAATGAAGAAGGAATATGGTGTGGAGATGGATGAGCTAGGTTATCCCATAATGAGAGAAAAATTCGATGTAGCATTAAAAATTTTAAAGAATAATAAGGCGCCATGTGTAGATAGGATACAGGGGGAAATTCTAAAACATACAGGACAAGAGGTTAGAGATCGTATGTTTAATCTGGTTAGTCACATTTACGAAACGGGGAAAGTCCCAGAGCATTATAAACGGAACGTAGTAGTAACCGTACCTAAAAAGTGGGGTGCGGATAGCTGCGAGACATTTAGAAAAATTAGCTTAACTTCCCATGCGTCAAGAATCTAGAGTACAGAGGGTGATGCAAAAAAGGGCAGAATAACTATAAGGGGAAGATCAATTTGGGTTTAGAGGAAATAGAGGAACGCAGGGGGCCATTCTACCTTTACGGGTAACAATAGAGAAGACGATAGAAAAACCAAACTTTTTTAGAAAAAACTGGGAAAAAGTGGGAAAAATGTTAAATATACTTAAAAATGTAGGGATGAGTTACAAAGATAGAAAAGTGATACTTAGTCTGTATAAAGAGCAAAAGGCTGCAACGTAGAGAAGTAAATATTAAGAAAGGAGACAGGGCTGCACACTGTCACCGCTACTTTTTAATCTACACATCGAAGACGCGATCAACATCATTAAAGACAGTACAAGTTTAGAGATAGATATACAGGGGCAAAAGATTGGTGTGCTTAGATTTGCAGATGATATAGCAGTATTAGCGTCTAGGAAGGACGACTTAAAGAAAGCTTTAAATAAAATTGAAGCGGTACTGATATATCAGTACTGTATGAAAATAAATAAAGGTAAAATAAAAATACTGATTTGCAAGGGAAGAAAGAGCGAATATAAAGAGAGGAGACGAAAAATTAGAAGAAATGTCCGATTTTAGGTATCTAGGAAGTCAAATAGTAGAAATATAAAGCAGAGGATAGCGCAGGGTCGTGTGGTCTTTATTAAAAAAAAGTCACTTCTATGCTCGCGAAAGGTTAATTGAAAATTGGAAAAAGGTTGTATACGGTATATGCTTGAAGCGCAGCGTTGTGCGGGTGCGAAACATGGACAGTGGGCGCGGTGGAAAAGAAGAGTTTAAAAAGCTTTCGAAATGTGATGTTATACGCGAACGATGAGGATAACGTGGATAGAGAAGGTTGGAAATGAAGAAGAATTAAAAAGAATAGAAGAGAAGAGGATTCTATGGAAGTCAATAAGAAATATGCGAGATAGGTTGGTAGGACACCTTCTTAGGCATGAAGGTCTAGTCAAAGACATATTAGTGGCAGAAACTGGAGTTACGAGGGGTAGAGGTAGACCTAGATTAGATTACTGGTCGGAAATAATTAAGGATGTGGGTTGTTCAAGTTTTAGGGAAATGCGAAAATACGTGTCCAACCAATCTTGGGACTGACGACCTTATGATGATGATGAATTATTTATTAAGTAAATTAAAAATTATAAATTACATACGTTATTATAATTATTTTAACTTTGAAAAAGTATTAAAAGCAATGTTGGATTATGTTAGGCACATAAGGTCCGGGCCAAGCGTTGCGACATTTTAGGAACATCAAAACTTTAGAAGCAAAGAATATTTTAACGTTGGAACTTAAAATACTTGACTTTTATCGACTGTCTTCCGTTTGACGTTAAACAATACTGAAGTCGTAATAGAATACTTATGTTCTTAATTAATTGTGAAATCTTTCCGTAATTATTTTTTGTCACTGCCTAATCTTTTTATTGTGCGTCTTATTCGGCAAATCATTTCTAGCTACTTTAAAATTATTAATATTAATCAATCATTTTATCGTTATTATTGGAGATTAAAGACAGAAACAGGAGTTATTAAGAGTAGAGGTTTGTCGTGATTGCTGTTGTCGTCTCTCGTAGCTTAGTGGTAGAACATTGGTGCGTAAAGCCAAACATCCCGGGTTCGATTCCCGGCGGGGGGTGACAACAGCAACAAAAATACTTTCCTCATTAATTTGAGGAAGTTTGTAGTGGATAAAAAATCGAAAAATTATTTCAAATAAATATTGCATTTTAACATTAACCACTCTTATAACTAACAATGTCATAGGATTTCATCTAGACCTAGATTAGATTACTGTTCGCAAATAGTTAAGGATGTGGGATGTTCTAGTATTAGGGAAATGCGAAGATTAGGTCAGGATAGGAAAGAGTGGAGGTGCGTGAACAGCCAGTCTTAGGACTGGCTACTTCATGGTAATGATGAAGCCAGTCTTAGGACTGGCTACTTCATGGTAATGATGACTGGAGTTTATTACAATTAGTAGATACTACAAACGAAAAAGGGGTCATATTGGCAGGGGATTAAACGCAGTGGAGCCTAATTCTCTCTTAATTTGATTTATGATTTTGGAAAATATTACCAAACATAAAAAACACATTTGTATTCTAGCAAAGTAAAAAAGTACTAGCTAGGAATGACATTAATATCGTTGAAATCCATTGTTATCTTTAGAACTGGACGTTGTATGGTCAGTATTTATATCAGTATCAATGATTTCGCTTTTTAATTTACTATTTCCTGCCAAAATGAAATTTTTAATAAAAAAGTAGGTACATTTCACTTCAACTTGTTCGTTATTTACTTCTGAATTGTGTATTGGCATTTCAAATATTCCTCAATTTCTCGGTATTTGTCTTTCTCGAGGCAAAATCTTCCAAAGCAAAGAAATCTTTCCAATGAACACGTATCTTCGAAATTATTATGAAGTAATGTTTTAATGGGAGTAGACATGAAATCCCATTAAATCAGTATTTATTATCACTCTCTTTATTCATATTTGCAATAATCTCATTAAGAGCGATTTCTGTTGTTTCCGGGAAATCGAGATCCTGAACAGGTACTAATTACGTTTATATTTATGTAGGGAAAATGCAACCAATATTACATTACGTGCTGGTGCTTCCGAGACTAATCAAACAGCAAGAACACCAATTACTGTAGAGGAGGTGTTCCTTCATCCCATGTACAATGAAACAACGCTAGACTACGATATAAGCATTCTCCGCCTGGATGAAGATCTTGTTTTTGGAAGAACGATTGGCCCAGTTTCTTTACCACCGCCCAATGTCGTTTTACCTGCAGGAACTATGGCTACCGTTGCTGGTTGGGGTGATTTATCAGATGGAGGCGTAATCCCAACTCAATTGCAGGCAGTAACTATACCAATTATTTCCAATGAAGAATGTATTCGTCATTACAACGGCACCTTTGCCCTTATTAGTGATAGATCGCTATGCGCTCTTTATGCACCAGGAGGAAGAGATGCTTGTCGTGTAAGTATTCATGGAAAGGAAGAATGTACAGTCATCATCATAAGGTCGTCAATCCTAAGAGTGGTTGGACACGCACCTCCATTCTTTCCTATCCTGAGCTAATCTTCGCATTTCCCTAAAACTAGAACAACCCACATCCTTTACTATTTTCGAACAGTAATCTAATCTAGGTCTACCTCTAAGTACTCCTCTTAATTCTATTAATTAATTCTGCCTCTAATATGTCTCTGACTAGACCTTCATGCCTGAGAAGGTGTCATACCACGCTATCTCGCCTATCTTTGTATCTAACCTATCCCACGTTTCGTTACATTTTAGTTTTTCTAAGTCAATAGGTCTCCTACCTTTCCTCTTTTTCAGAATTTTTAATTTAATGTGGGACCAAATTTATATGCTCAGGTTTAATCACTTTTGTCAGAATGCTTATAACTAGTCAAAATGTGTGTAATTGGTGGTCAATATTCTGTCGAAAGTGCCAGATATGGACCGACATTTCGATTTCATTAGATCTCATCAGTACTCTGTTGAGAGTTCCCACAGAACACAGATTCGTCATTAATAACAGTAAGTTGCTTGATCTTTTTTCTGTTGGAACTGTGTCTAGCGTACTGGTGAGATTTATCAAAATCCCTATCCGATCGCGAAACAATCACTTCGGATAGACTGACCACTAAGTTTAGATTGGTCACATGGTCCTAAGACTGGTTGGACACGCACCTACACTCCTTCCTATCCTGAGCTAATCTTCCCATTTCCCTAAAACTAGAACTTACCACGTCCTTAACTATTTGCGAACTGTAGATCTACCTCTACTCCTCTTCCCTCTTGTTTCTGTTTCTAATATGTCTTTAACTAGACCTTCATGTCTGAGAAGGTGCACTACCAACCTTTTTCGCCTATTTCTTGTTGACTTCCATAGAGTCCTCTGTTCTCCTATTTCTTCTAATATCTCTTCATTTCTAACCTTCTCTATCCACGGTATCCTCATCATTCGCCTATAACACCACATTTCTAACCCTTTCTTTTCCGCCGCGTCTACGGTCCATGTTTCGCTCTTGTATCGTGCCGCGCTCTAAACATACACCTTTAACAATCTTTTTCAAACTTCTAAATTAATCGTTCACGAACGTAGAAGTGACTCCTTGTTATTGAAGGCGACTCGACCTTGTGCTATCCTTTGCTTTATATAGGTTCCCTAAATATTCTTTCCACCTATCTGCCTATTCCTCATTTTCTATCAACATGACCCCTGCCTCGTTTCATATACGTATTATTACTACTGTACTCTACTTCTCTAAAATTCTTTTCAATTATATATTGTGGCGGACAATTGTATATATTTTTTGTGAATATTTCTTTAGGATTGTTTTTCATTATTCCAAATTCATTTCATTTTAAATAATATTTCAATTCATTTCAATTTCTTATCTTGTAATTACCTTGTTTTCCTTTCAATCTAAACTCTATTGTTCACTTTTACCCAGAATTCCAACTTCAACCATACCTGCATGCACTCCCATACTAATATCTGGTTTTACTCTTAATTGCTTACTCTTGAACTCTATACTGCTTAATTCTACGTATTCCTAGAAACTAGTGTCTTCACCCTCTCTCTCACTACTTTTCCTTCTAGAACCTTCTGTCAAATCTACTAACAACCCTGTCCTATAAGTACTCCCAAAAATTCTTATCTTTACACAGTCTCTCGTCTACCACTTCTACTACCGTTCGTAAGTGCTTTTATCTACTCTGTTTTATTGTTGTTGTCTTTGTTATTGTTATTGTTATTGTTGTATTATCTTGTTCTTTTTGTCACTTTGTTCTCGTTTGTTTGTTTTACTCCTTGTGCCTTTTTGTTAGTTGTGTTTTCGTTGTTATTGTTATAAACTGTTACTCGTTATTGTTAGCATTTTCTTGGTATTTAAATAATATACACCAAAAGACACGAAAATACTATAAGCCTCATCTATTTTACCTAGTTCTTCTACTCCTTTCAACCTCATATCGATCCACTGTTCCTTAGCTGGTCTACACTTCCTAATTATTTCCCATTTTATCGCCTTATCTCTTTTCTACCCTTCTTCGTCTGTCCTGCTTTTGTATTTTGTTATCCAGGGTTTCCTACATTCGTTTTGTTTATGACTTAATACATCTGTAGCTATTGACTGTAAGCACGTTTTAATGCAGTTCCATTCCGTCTCATGTCCTTTAGTGTTTCGTCTGTCCACGTGGCTAGTCTATCCCGCGTTTCGCTACATTTTAGCTCAAGACGTCTTCTACCTACCCTCTTTTTCATAATTTTTAATTTAATGTACAGTAGAAGTCAATAATTGGATTCGACCATACCTTGGACCAAACGTATATGCTCAGGTTTAATCGCTTTTGTCAGAATGTCTATAACTAAACAAAATGTGCGTACTTGATGATCAGTATTCTGTCGAAAGTGTCAGATATAGACCGACATTTCGATTTCATTGGATCTCATCAGTACTCCGTTGAGAGTTCCGACAGAACACAGATTCATCATTAATAACAGTAAGTCGGTTGATCTTTTTTCTGTTGCAACTGTGTCTGGCGTACTGATGAGATTTATCAAAATCGCGATCCGATCGCGAAACAATCACTTCGGATAGACTGACCACCAAGTTTAGCTTAGCCACATGCTTTTAGCGCAAATGCTAAGCCGCGGGTTTAACTTGACAAGTCGACATCCTTACTAGAAAAGTAAAAATTTCCTACAGGTGGCGTGCACACTCTAAATGTACTTCTTCATCCAGCACTGTTTAATGGCAGCAGGAAGGCTGGTCTGTATTTTGGCGAAACTGTCTGAGGTTTACTGGTGAGATCCAATAAGATCAAATAGCACTGGCAGTTTCGACTAAATATCACTAATAAGGTATTGAATCCAGTAGGCGCTATACTTACACGTTACGTTTTAGATACGTTACAATTAAATTAGAGCTAACAAGTTTTCCATAAATTTGTGTTACAAGTCTTGTTTACCTGTTTTTTTGAAGTGAAGTTTCATTATCGACTATAAGAAGGAAAACTAGGTTATGAAACTGAAAAATGTAACGTCAGACGTCGCATCACACGCCACGTGTGACCCCTGGTGGATATGTCCAAAAGGAGTCATTTTAACAGGCTTCAGAAGCCAACCTGTTGGTAGCAGCCGATAATCCGAATATTGCCATTTTGACAAATTGTCACCGTAAAAGTTTTTGACAAAACTAAACTAATATTCCGCATTCCTCCCCACGAATTAAAGTTGTATTTTTCTGGTCTTTAGTAATTAGTTAATGCAATAGTTTAAGTCATTTTTTCTTAAATACTAGTATAGTATACGTACAATCTAAAGAAGTTTCACTTCTTAGGCATGAACACTAATACACGCTCGTCCCTTTCTTTTAGGGTGATTCTGGAGGACCATTGACAGTGAACGGTGTGCTTTATGGAGTGGTGTCTCAAGGTATAGGCTGTGCGGATCCCAGATACCCAGGAATTTACGCCAATGTCTCAAATTTACGCTCCTTTATCGAAGATGTTACAGGGCTGTAATTATTTTCATACCATTTGCATTTGTAAATGTTCATCGTAATAAATAAAGAACTTATACTGTTATAGCTTACGTTTATTTGAATGCACCTAAAGTTATATTACCGCATATTTTGCAAGAAATTTTAGGTCTACCTCTACCCCTCCTAACTCCTGTTTCTGCCTCTAATATGTCTCTGACTAGACCTTCATGCCTGAGAAGGTGTCCTACCAACCTATCTCGCCTATTTTTTATTGACTTCCATA